ATTATTTTTAACTGCGTGTCTTTGAAACCAGGGTCACGCATATCGAATAGAAAGCGATGAGAAGACGAAAATGAGCCCACTTGCAAGGCGTATCCGCCTCGCAAGTGGGCTCATTTTCGTCCTCTGCGCATAAGAAAGGAAGTAGCGCTGACGTCAGAACGCCAAGCCCTGATTGGCTGATCGCGACCCCCTATCTCAGCGTCGTCTGCTCCTTTGCAACGTCGTCTGCTCGCAACATCGTCTGCGTCTGTCTTACCTTTCCTGCGACTTTCGGAAGTGCAGGTATTTACGAGCGAGCTCGACTTCGCCTTTCAGAGAGGGCAGACGAAATAACTCGAGCGGTAAGTTGTTTTTGTCTAACAAATAGCAGACACGCATCAAGGAGGGAAGCAAATACCGTGGAAGCCAATACTGGCAACTCCCGCGGAAAACGGGCGAAAAGTGATTGCAGCGCCCCTGGCGAGCTCGGAGTCTCCGCTAGCAGACAAATTCTCCAAAATGCATTGGTTTTGCCTATCTCCGTGCGAGGTGACCAACGAAAAAAAATTGTCACGGACATTCGCTGCTTTGAAAGTTAAAAAATGGGTGCCAGCTCATGAGTGAAGGACATTCTCTTCACGTGGGAAATATGTTACAGCTTTCTGGGTGCAATTTCGGAATTCTCCCGAAGAAAACATTCTGTCACAACTTATGTAAGCCAAGCAAAACACGAATGTATGCCTTCGCGCTGTTTCGTGAAAAAGGGAAATGTACAAATATTTCAGAACATAGCTTCGTTTCAACTTTATTGTTCTTATCAGTCCATTCGTTTTGTCGTTGCAATTCCCATTTCTCATGAATGTCTTGTTTATAACCGTTTCGTCGAACAGGCGAGCTGGCTAATCCCGTTAAGATCGTCTCCGGATGAAGAGGCAGAAGTCAATTTCGAACCACGTACGTTACGGCGATGTCAGTATGCTCCGAAAGAAGTCGTTGTGCATATGCAAATCTGACGCGATTATAGATTAACAAAAGCAGAGTTACGAAAAAAGCAGACTTCTCGCGCTTGCAAAAAAAAGAAGGGGAGAGCGTCGTAGCCCCGCGAAAAAAGGTGATTTCAGTCACGTTATTTACAGTACACAAATTCCGATTGTTAGCGCGGGGACGACCAACATCTTCTGCTTCGCTGCTTCTTTACTTCTACGATAAAGGCCGACACCCGTTGAACCGTCTCCACTCTTTCCATTTTTGAGTCTTCTTTCTTTTGTATTTTTGAGGCGACGCCACTCTGCCGCGTTATTTCTTCCTCCTGCTTATATGTTGCTGTGTATATATATATATATTTTTGCCCGACGGGTAACGATCGCGTATCCTTGCTTTGTTTGGCTTAGTTTTTACTCCCTTTCCTTCGCTTCGGCGCTTACTACCCCCGGTTCGTCTGCGCTAGGCCCGGGCATTTTGAGGGCCGTCTGCAACTTTGCTGTTGTTGTTGTTTTCTTCCACTGTCGTCTGCGATGACCTCCTATTTTCGCCTTCGATTGAGTTTCTAATCCAAAATCGTCATACGGGCTTTTTGATATTTATTAAATATATTAAGAAGTGTAAGCTCGTTATACATTTTTATTCAAATTTTTTTTTGTGTACTCCGGCCGGCACGTCTGCTACGGGTCATCGTTTGTTGATCAACCGGCCACATTCGAGCATACACCAGAGCATACTTAGAGATGGCAGGCATGCTATGTGCTGCCTACCATTGCAAGAGCAAGTTTGTGCGATGTGGTGGAACATCTTTCTTCTGCTTCCTACGTCAACCTACGGACACCTACGTCAACAAGTACTTGAATGCACTTTTAAACTGCTTGGTCAAGCGAGCGAACGAACAACACGCCAAAGTCAACCATTTCGTCGTTTACCCTGAGACTGGGTTTTTTTTTTTTTTTTTTTTTTTTTGTGAAGAGCAGAAGAAGCAGAAAAAACAGACAGGTCTCAAACTCAGCTAACTTAGCTGAGTTTGAGACCTGTCTGTTTTTTCTGCTTCTTCTGCTCTTCAAAAAAAAACCCAGTCTCAGGGTAAACGACGAAATGGTTGACTTCCACCAGCTAGCCTGTACTTTGACTCTTTTCACGCCAAAGTCACTGGAAAAATAAATTCGAAAGCAAAAAAAGGTTACTCACTGCTAGCACATATAGAAGATTGCTGCCTGCGACCAAAACATTTCTGCGACTCTTTTTTACCGGGCAGCGTGAGCTGCACTACGTTATTTATTTCCCCTGTTGTTTTTAGTTCGTACCTACGCCGCGAAAGCAAATAAAGAAAAGGTACAACAAGCAGCTGAAGGAAAAGGGACGCTTTCTTCTTTTTTCATTAGTTTCGCCTGTTGCTTCCGCTTTGTTTCTCGTGAACTCAACACCGGTGGCGACCACCAGCTATTCATTTGCTGCTTTCCATTTTTCTTTCTATTACCGGAGCAAGCGCACGAGCAAGCTCGTGCGCTTGCTCCGGTAATATTAACATGTCGTATTTGCATGTTTTAATGCTTACGACGTAGTTCGAGTAGCTAAACGCCTTTTTTTCGCTTCCCAGACGCGTTTAAAACGCGCGTGATCCCCTGAGAGGCGTTTGAGACCGCTAAATAAACTGCTCTATCTTTGTTTATGCCCGCGTTGTTATGCGCGCTGGTTTGCCCTTCTACTCAAAAACAAGTTGCGACGCTGAGAATGGTTGTCCCTACTTGCAGTAATAGTTTTAAATTCATCTGTGGTACAAGCTGTAGTTGAATTACTTTCTTAATTTGTTAGAATCATCTAAGAATCACCCAGACTAAATCATTTGAAAGCACATAAAAGATTAGATGACCTCAGCCAGTCAATAATTAATTAGCTGGTATATATGACGTTGCACCTTTTAATGTAGGAATTTAACTTAGCCAATTCATAGAAACTGGTCCGTGAGGAAGCGCAGCCCTCATTTGCATTGTGCAGTGGTTTAATTTATGCGACATGCATTGTAAATATATAAATAAACATTTAAAAATAAATAAAGAAACCATTATTAAAAATAAATCAATAATCAAATAAAAATATCTTTGATATATGATTACTTAATTAAATAAACAGGGCATAACTTAACCAGTACCTCCTTAATTAAATAAATAAATATTTTGATTTGCTACTTTTATTTAAACAAATAACATTTTAATATAAATAAATATATAACTAGAAATATCGGTTCCACAGGCTGGTGAACTGGTTCATACAAACTGTTATGGAATAGAAACAGTTTGAAGTAGACACATAACTGGTCCCAGTTGAACCCTATTTGGTCCCCAACTGGGAATGGTGAGACCCATTGAACCCCAACTGGGAATGGCTTCGACCAGTTGGCACCTCAGCTGGTCCCAGTTAGCTCAGTTTTGTTCCCCAACTGGGAATAGCCAGACCAGTTGGCTCCCAACTGGGAGTGGTTACAACCAGTTGGCCCCTAAGCTGGTACCAGTTGGCCTGCCAGCTGGTCCCAGTTCCATCCCAGTTAGAACCAGTTGGGACCAGTCAGTCTCAGTTTGGACCAGTAGAGATTCCAACAGGTCCCAGTTACAAATTTTCGCCGGTGGCCAGGTTTCTGCATTCCTGCATAAGGGCTTTGTTTACGGCAGCTATTGGCTGCCACCTTCCCACCTCTCGCCTTCGCGAAGGGGACTGAGCAGACGCAGAAACGGTGGGGGATTGCCACCTTTCCACTCGTTCCATCATGCTCCTTGCAGCTTTGCTTGGGTCCTCTCCGTTCAGAGAATTGTTGAGGCCACCCTGGATGACAGCCAGGGTGTGCTCTGGCGTTCGGGAGCGTCGGCTCTCTGCAGCCTCCATTATGGGCCCTGCATTTTCGCTCCTGGCAAGGCCCGTACCCTGCGGTCCCAGTTCAGCCTGTCCAGGAGGGGTACTTTTAGCCCCCTCATATTTGAGTCGCCTACAAGGATCACACTCTCTTGTGTCCTGACCTGTTTATCAGTTCTGTTCGCCGCTTCTTCCTGTTGCGTGTGTTAATTGGCTGCTGTTTTTAGGAGTCTGGGAAAGATTTCTTTGCCCACCTTCTGCTGTATTTGGCCCCGATCCACGTTGCACTGCTGGCGTTGTTGCATCCCTTTGTTTTGGTTCTTTGGCTCCGACTACTTCTTGTTCATCTTCGTTTGGAATACACGTCTATTCCGGGTGCGCTTCAGCCTCCCGGTTCACCTTCATCTCTGCAAGACACTTTTCTGCTTCTTCCCTTCTTGCTCTTTCTTTCATTGTTTCTGTCTCTGCTTTCCGTCTCGCTGTTTTTTTATTCTTCCAGGGCTTCTCTCAACTCCGCCTCCAACTCTCGCATAGATCTCATCTTGAAGCACTGCGCGGAGAATTCTGTCTCCGTGTGTGCTTTCTCTTCCCGCTCACGTTTCACTGCTGTTAGCACCTCTTGTGCAGCCTTAATCTTCGCGCACAGCGTACAGATATATTGTGCTGCTTTAGCTTCTTTCAGCGATTTAAAGGGCGTTTCCTCCAAAAACACCCACCTTCCACTGTCGCTGCATTTCACTAACCCACCGTCGACTCTGGCCGTGGTAGTTCCCGCCATGATCAAAGCCGGGTCTCTCTTTCAAGAGTTTTCGCCAAGCGTCCTGTCGATGCCTGGACTTGATTTCGCAGCGCTCCCGCAACGCCGATCTTCAATTTCCTTGGCGGGCTGCAGCTCCACACAACGCGCGTCTGTTGTCCGCAGTTTTGGTTTCGTTTAGAGCTTACGATACGCCTGATTGGACTAATTCTACACTTTTCACCGTTATCGCCGGTTCTCCGGGCTCGCGAACTCCCTTATTTACTGTTTTTATATTAAATTAATGTCTTGAAAACACGCGATAATTACCAAAATGACAAAAATCACGCAGTGGTTCGCAGCAGACAATAATAGCAGCAGACGACGCTCTGCATGCTTCTATGCTAGATGGCGCAAGCTACCGATATTATAAAGGATACAGCCGTTGTTATCTATCCATCCATCGATCTGGAAAAATGGCGGCATGCTCGTCTGCGAGCTGGTGGAGCTGGTAGGGGAGCGTCTCGTTGATCGTAAAAATTTCGTCGAATCTCTGCATTTAGTGTCACCCAGAAATAAGCGGACATGGCTGAAAAACGGGAGCTACCGGAGGATCTCCACGATAAAGGTGACAATCTGCGTTTGCCTATTTTTTTGCTGGGTTCTTTGCTTCTGCGGTGTTTGCTAAACGTTCCATGCGGAATTTTTGTCCATCCGATTTTAAAACTTGCAACTGCAAAATAAGCACCGTACTTTCAACTGCAAGGTCAGCACGTGAAATACTGGACGTATCTGCACTAATTTCAATGGAGCTATCCGAGCGGGTCCAAACATAGCTGCTACATAAACCAGCAACTCACAGACTGCGATGCAACAACGCATTCTCCGCGATTGCGTAATTCGCAGTGTCTAGCGTTACGTCCGACGGAACCAGAAATTACAATTAAAGTTACGTCCGACGTAACTTTACGTCAAGGTTTTGAGTTACGTTCGACGTAACCCAATATGAAGATTAAAGTTACGTTCGACGGAACTCCAAATAAAAAGCAAAGTAACCCAAAAAGATATGTCCGACGTAACTTTACCCTAGTTTCGAGTTACGTCCGACGGAAATAATTTATATGAACCGTGATCTAGAAAAACTGTGTTGCTCGTATGTTTAGACAGTTTTGACGCTAGTACGCCTCCACGGGTCACTTGTCTCTTAGCTGTAGATGAGAAAGTTAAGGCCCGTTCACACTCTTGCGACTGCTGCGACCTCTTAAACCTGGGTTCCTTAAAACTTTTTAAACCAGAAAACACACTGGCGCCATCTATTGGGAAGCAGTGTAAACTCGGCGGTCCGGCATATTTTTTTTATTTCTCGCGCAATATCCTTTCTTTTTTGGCTCGAAAAACTTTTGTCAATGTTATAAACGAGCCTTTCTATGGGTATTACGCACATTTGACCTCGGAAATCCCGCAAAACCTTCGCTTTTGTGAAATGCAGTTCCAGGGTCACCGCATAGATGGCGCCACAATGTCAGTGTGTTCCCTCATTCTAGAAACATTTAAGAAGTTGTAAGAGATCTCGTCTCTCTCAGTCGTACTCGGTCGCAAGAGTGTGAACGGGCCTTTAAGGCCCGTTCACACTCTTACGACCTCTTAAAACTGGGTTCCTTAAAACCTCTTACACCCAGAGGATACACTGGCACCATCTATTTGGTAGCAGCGGAAACTTGGCGGTCCGGCATATTTTATATTTCTTTAGCGCATTATCCTTGCTTTCTTGGCTCGAAAATTTTTTGGCAACGTTATAAACAAGTCGTTCTTATATGTATTACGCACATTTGACCTCGGAAATCCCGCAAAACCTTCGCTCTTGTGAAATGCAGTTCCAGGGTCACCGCATAGATGGCGCCACAATGTCAGTGTATTTGGTGTGTTCTCTCATCCTAAGAAATTTTTAAGAAGTTTTAACAGATCTCGTCTCTCTCGGTCGTACTCGGTTGCAAGAGTGTGAACGGGCCTTTAGCCAGTGCAGTACAACCGCTAACCTGGGGTCTTTAACGTGCACCACGGAGTAGTAATCACACGAACGCGTGCCGGTACCACGACGTACGCCGGTACGAAACTCATCCAAGTCGAAACGGGTAGCGGGTCTTTAATTTTAGGGGCGAAGTTCCTGAGGGTCTAGCCTTGTCCGTCCGGCGTCCGTGCTCACATCGATCTTGCTAGTGCTCGTGCTCGTGATCGTGCTCGTGAGCTTACGTCCTCGTGTAGGGCAAGACAAAAAATTATGCAAAAAAAAGAAATGTTTGCGCAGTCGACAAGATCGAACCTGTGCGGGGAGACCCCAATGGATTTCTAGTCCATCACCTTAAACACTCGGCCACGGCTGCGGGATGAGTAGGGGGCTCTGAGATGTGGTGATGTGGTAGTAACTAGGGATGCCGCGAACTTTTTTCGAATCGAAGTTTCGATGATCGAATCAAGTGGTTCGAAAGGTTCGAAAGATTTCGAATTTTCGAACTTTCCATATTGAGAAATTCGACAGAAGTAGAATTTTCGAACTTATTACGCTGCAAAATTCGATGCTTGTCGAACTTTCGAACTTGATAAACTAAAAAATTCTATGATTTTCGAACTTTCGAACTTCTTGCACTAAAAAGTTTGAAGCTTTTCGAACTTTCGAATTTCCTACGCTAAGAAATGCGATAATTTTCGAACTTTCAAACTTATTAATCTAAAGAATTCGAAAATTGTCGAACTCTCGATTCCTGAAAAGTCAAAAGTTTGACGAACTTTGAACTTTTAGGGTAAAAGTTCGAAGCTCGTTGAACTTCGAAAGACCGGCGGGCGGTTTCATTTGGATTCAAGCAGAGAGGTACATTCATAATTTTTTTTTTTCACAATTTTACATCGGGTGACGCATTCCTTGCGAAAGACAATGCCGTTCATTTCCATCATCTGGCACGCTTGGTTTTAGAAAAAAGATTCCCGAAGGAGCGAGGAAGGACGATGGGATTTTGACAATTGTCATTTGTGCCATATTTGAAGCGCGCTATAGCCGAAGCTAGGGTGCCTTCACGTGCGCTCTGCTTGGGGTGATGACATCTGACCATTTTGTTTCGAATGCTTATTTTTATTTTCTTTGTTCTGAAGCGCGTGAAAGAGTGTGTCCCTGCACGTGCTCGTGGCGCTGACTGTGCTACGGCGACATTTAGTTTCCTCGATTTCTTTGTATTTTGCCTGTGAGCGCGTGCTGTCGGCATCGGGTACTACAAACGATGGCATCAGCCTAAACATATGGGCATTGAGGCACCCTAGATGAAGCTGTTTATGGTAGGGATGTTAAACTTTTTAAGAATGATCTATATATAGCTTAGGTGAGTGTCGTCTTAAGATATGATTATTGTTGTTCAAGACGAGTTTCGAATAAATATCCAAACATGTACCCTAATCTTGGTAATTTTTTTCGCCTACATTGTTTTGGTATTGCATTTAAATTAACACCAGAGAGTACATATCATTACCATCTGCAGAATACAAAATAATGTATTTATTGTTTTTTTCACGCTGAGGAATAAATTAACTCATGGGGGAAGATTTCTAAAATTGGTCAAGTTCAGCACGTCATAAAAAAAATATTTTTTTTTCTCATTTTTTGTTTTTGGGACGTGTTTCTTTTGGCCTGTACACATTTTGGTAGGAGAAACTTGTTTCATAGTTCTGGGCCTCTTAATATGAGAGAATACAACACTTCCGGCCGGGTTCTTGATAGTTTTTTTTTTCTCTCCAGCTTTTTATTTTTGCATTTATTGTTATGTTTATTTATTGATTATTTTTTACCAATGGCACAGTTATTTAGGTCGAAAAGACATAGCTTTGAACTTTCGAGCCACTGAGCATGTGACGAGTAGTGCCTCCTGAAAACGAGTTTCTAAAGGCCTGTTCACACATGCAGCGGAGCGCAATAAGCATATCGCTGACCTCGTGCTAAGCACGTGCCGACGGGAGCTTTCACCAGCTTTGTATCGCACCGTCAAAACTGTTGCTCATGGCATACGATAAGTACCTGACGGCACGTAAGCAGCGGTACATCAGCGCTTCGCTGCATGTGAGAACCGGCCCCATCTACGCAATCTTTTATGCAGTGAAGAGCCACAGTAGCTATACATATGCATAAATAATTTCAGATCAAAATAAGCTCGACCATGCCCTCTTTCCCCGTATTGTTTTCTTTAACAGTCCGAAATATCTGGGAGGGGGAGAGAGACTGGAGCTCCCCCCTTCCCCCCCCCCCCCCCTCCGTTTTTCCTCTTCCGACGCCACTGGTATAACAAAACGCTCCTCGACCTCAAGTTGCGTCAGCTTCTCTGCTTTTTGCTCGGCGTTTCTTCCGCCCCAGGAAATTAACCTCCAAAGCAATGACAAAAAAAAAAAAAAAAGTGGTCAAGGTGCAGGCGGGCTGGTGTATGTTGATCATAATACAAAATCCCGAGACTGGGAACGAAATTCGCAAGAAATAGTGTAAGAAGAAAGAAAAAAAGGGGACAGGACAACGGTCTCAAACTCAGCTGAGTTGAGTTTGAGACGTTGTCCTGAGCTGAGTTTTCAGTTGAGTTGAGTTTGAGACGTTGTCCTGTCCCCTTTTTTCTGTCTTCTTACACTTTTTCTTTCAAATTTCATTCCTAGTCTCAGGATTTTGCATCATGTAAAAACTAAACTTACTATATGCCAGCGTCACTCGGGCGGCGTTCGATCGGATTACTACCAGCGTGCAAGGGCGTAGGGGGGCAGTTTGCCAGATCACTTCAAGGTTTTTCTGAACCTCAACTGCCTGCCTGCCCCTGGCCGTCCTGAACTGGCTGAGTATCGTTAAACAGTGCGTTCGTAGGATCACTACTTCGTAATGCACGTAAATGACCACCCCGGGCTGGCGGTCACAATTACTGCTCTATTGTTACACGTCACTGCACTGGCAAATATTCCAGCACATCCGGGGCACTCGTCGTCTCATTTAATTGCCTGACCAACTTTGTGCAGTCTAAATATGACACCCGAACTTTTCTAAACCTGATTTCGTGAAAGCCAGTGAGGCGTGAAAACATTATTTGAAACTGAAACTGTGGCAGAACATGAAAACTGGACTTCGAACTTTGTGCACTTGGACTTAAAAAAAATCGGAAACCTTCAAAGTTTTTTTTTTTTTTTTTTTTTTTTTTTTTTTTTTTGAATTTAGCATTAAAAGAGCATTGAAACCTTCAAACTTTTCGAACTTTATGTAGAAAGAAACTCTAAATCTTCGGATTTATCGAACCTCATGTCTTTAAAAATTTGAAACGTTCGAATTTTTCGAATTTTAGATCCAAAGAAATTTGAAACATTCGAATCTCTCGAATTTCAAATTAGAAAAGTTCGAAATTTTCGAACTTTATCGAACCTCAAGTAAACAAATATTCGAAATAATCGAACCCGAACTTTTAGAAACCGTGAAAGCTTCGAACTTTTCGATTTCGAAACCCCACGATTTTGAAAAGTTGCGAATATTTCGAATTCGAACATCCCTACGGTCGAAAATATCGAAACTTTTCGAAATCGAACATCCGTTCGGTTAGAAAATATCGAAACCTTTCGAATTCGAACCTAGGGTGGTTCGCGGCATCCCTAGTAGTAACTCAAGAGCTGGGGATGTCATGGATGAAACGTTGCATGTAGCCGCTCAACGTCTATACAGGAGAGGGCGCTGCGGTCAAATGCGTATACAATCACGTTAAACTTTGCATGCATTGGCTCAACGTTTATAGACGAGAGGGTGCTACGGTAAAATGCTCAAATGTGTATATAACCACGTTCCATATCACACATTCTCTTTCTGACATGGATTAAAATGAACGAAAGGCTCGGCATGCAGCGGCTCAGCGTCTGCGCAGACAAGCACCACCAGAGCTTCGCCCTAATCAACATCATTCACCACGTGGAGATGCGGTCATTTTTTTTATTTCGAGTTCCGTCGGACGTAACTTTAATTTTCACGTTGGGTTCTGTCGGACGTAGCTCGAAATCTTGGGGTAAAGTTACGCCGGAAGTAACTTTAATTTTTATTTGGAGTTCCGTCGAACGTAACTTGAATTTTTATTTCGGGTTCTGTGGGACGTAACACTAGACACTGCGTTGATTAAATCAGTTGGCGGTAACACAGGCAAAAAACAAAACGAAAAATGCCATGATTTAGCGCTTTCCGGGATGCGCAATTGGCCCGATAGACCATTTGCTATATTACCCAAGCACCAAGGAGAATGCAGGGATTGGTGTTGATAACCAAGATGAAGCATTGACGAACGCGCATGCAAGATGCCATTTGTTTTAGATATTTGCTTTAGAAAAGCTAATACTGCTCAGGCCAGCACGTGCGGCGTGTGGAACACCAATCCCTGCATTCTGCTTGATGCTTGGGTAATAAAGAAATAGGTCTATTGACTCGTAGCATTGGTAGCGTTTTGAATGTTTCATTTTCAGTTATGCTTGATCTTTGTTTTTCTTACTATGGTGTTGGTTTCTTGTTTAGCTTGTTTTGTTAATGTACTGAATTTTGCACATGCAAAGAAAAAACCTAGAAGAGCACCATAAAATAAGCTAACTAGGTCCTTATGAACCAATGGGAGCAATAAACAGCAGAAATAACGTCTGCAAGACCGCCTTTATTTTAAAATAATTAGAAATCACTCGTTATTTTGAAGTGGCTCTCAAAGCTTTTTCAGAATTTCCACGACTATACATACTTTGTAACTAAGCCTTGATAGTTGCACTATGCAGGTCCTAGAGCATATGCATGCAGAAGTTGGTATTGCTAGGACAATATTAAGCTCAAAAATAATTCTGCTCAAACTGTGAGCCTTCGTAGTGTTGACAGTGCTCGAACTTGAGATAAAACGGAGTACAGACAACTAAAATTATGTAGCAAAAAACAAAAAGTAATTTGATTCATTGTTTCCAGCAAGAGCTTCCTGACTTTAGAAAAGGAAAAAATAAGCCACTGGACGGAGTGCAACTGAGCTATTCTGTAAGCTGTTTCTAGCTAAGCTATTTATCATACTCAAATTTTGTGGGTGTAAATTTCCAAAACAAAATGAAAAAAAAAAGAAAAGACAAGAAGGTAGTGTCTTTATTCTTGGGGAAAAGAAATGTAAACAAATCATCTCGTTGACACTAGTGCTCACAAATGGTGCGTTTAGATATCCTCAGGTTTATGTTAGAAACACTAGCCAGGTGATAAGAGCCGCTGCCGATTTAGAGACGCATGCGTCCGTTAGAGAAATAGCTGGGGAGGCATGGATGGCATGGCTAAAGGTTCAGGAAATGCATACTCGACTGAATAGTGCACACCCTGTAGTGCGTCAGTAACGTTTCTACCTGTTGTTAAGTAAGCCTAAAAACTCGTTGCCTGCACTTAGCGCGCTCACACTTTAGTCACAGGTACATTTTAATGGTCAGTTTGATGTTGTGAAATTGCCAGGCATAGCTCAATTCTCGTAAAAACTGATAATGGAATCTCCAGAAGTTTGTAGGTCGAGCATTTGAGATAGGGCCGTGTTTGCAGCTGTAATCCAGATGTGGCGGCACCCACACCCCAGCTTCCTAAAGAGCCTCAACTTCACCTATGCAGTGCATTGAGCAAATTAAGTCGACCGCTGCAAATAATCCGGTAGGAGATGCCAATGAAATGCGCCAGGTACTAGGGCAACTGCAACGCGATACAGAGCTACGTACGAGTGAATGAAAGCTGACAACCGTTGTGGCAACGGTCGTCTGCATCACTGGGCATCGCAACCACTGCCGCAGACAACACTCGTGTCCAGCGAGCAGAGAGACTTGGGTGTTGGAAAGGGAGGTACAAAGCAAAAAGATGAGATTATAGCCCAACAGGCTATGTAGACTTTCCACTTTTAACTCCTTGCCTACTAATAACGAGTGTTACTCGTGCCACACTTTACGGACCATAAAGCCGAACCATGAGCATGACTCATGTTTCGGTTTCTGCACTTGTTAAGCGTGCTCTTTGGCAGATGGCAGAACCACCCCTGTTGCTCACCTGATCTTGGGTTGTTGCCCGTTTGTTTTCCTGTTCTATGAAAGAACAATGCTTTATTTAGCCAAAAATTGCGCACTTTGTAAGCATTTGTGCTAAGACAGTGTGGCTTTGGCGCAGAGGTTTGTTCTAGTAGAAGAGGTACCAAAACTTGTTTTTGAAAGTGATAAATGCTCAGGCATACCTGATATTGCACCCACTGAGAAGAATCAGATGCGGGCTTGCACAGTCAATAAGAAACAGAGTGAAACAACATTGGAATGAGGACAGTGCAAGGTGGGCTCACCACCTTCCTGAATGTTTTCAGCACTATCACACTGTGAAGAACTACCAAAGAGGACCATAAGATCAGAAGTCCCGCTTTAGAGCTAGATACCACACCTGGAAATCAAGGAAATGTTTTTGTCTCATTTTGATGCAAATTGCCTGTTTGAAATAAAGTTTTGCTGTACATTCCTCGGAGAAAAGAAAGGAGTAGGCAAGGTGTTAATTACGTCGCTTTTTTGCACTTGGATAGTAGGTAAAAAAGAGGGAGGCTCTGCGCTCTCCCTGTTTGGTAGACAGATGAAGCTTCCATGTTCTTCGCTTTTTTTAACCTTAGGGATTAAGAATGTATGCTTCAAACTGCACTATGATCTAACTACACACTTTTCTGAGCTCGTACGTAGAATATGTACCACAGTTGCACGTTTTGTGCCACTATGGGTCACACAATGTCTTGCTGCTGCATGGTGTCACATATACTGTGATTTGACGGTGTTGCGTCGTGGTGTTGCATTACTGAAGTTGCAGAGTGACACAATGACATCGCGTGACCTGGTGTCGTGTGACCCCTTCTTGACGATCATGTCACGCCGTCTCGTGACCGCAGTTTGCTAATTTTAATGTTCAATACCTCTCCCGTCGAACTTGGCTGAACATATGCCTGCTCTATTTCTTGTTCTTTGAGGTGGAACTGTTTTATGTCGGTCTGCGCTCCCGCCTCTCGTCTGCTGCTAGAATCTTCGTTTCATGGCAGTCTCGGTGGACAGTTTTATGCCTTTGTTTTAAATGATGTCGGAACTGTCTTAAGATATTTTTTTTTTACTTCCTAAAGCAGAAAGTTGTGACAGCAGGTTCGCTCGCCAGCTTTCTCGAGGTAATGAGATTTCCAGGGCGCCTGGCCGTCTAAAGACGAAGCTGCGAAAGTAGGTTAAAAAACACACTATGAAAACGGCCAATAGTGTGAGAGTGTTTGATTTAGTATGTGTGCGTGTTTTGTCTTGTCTGTATTGTGGAGTAGCCGGCCATGCCTTCACGGCAGCCAACATCTCCAATTCCTTTTTTTTTGTCATTTAATAAAGAAAGAAAAAAGTGATGTACCACTGGGAAGGCATGTTGCTGTTGGTGGGCATGGGTGAATAAACATATCGTATAATACTTTGTTCAAGCCCCTACTATTCACATTTCCAAAACTTGGGAATTGTGCAAATTATACGATTAAGCCAGTTCTCGGCGACAGTGGGGTGGGTGCTGTGTTTTACGGCGGCTTTGAGAAGGGGGTGATGCTCCGCAGGTGCCAAGCGACCCCGCACGGAGCGTTGGCCGGACGAGTGCACGGTCTTTGTCGCGGGGGACCTGCACCGCACCAGTGAGGCCGAGATCAGGGAGGCCTTCTCAAAGTATGGCACGGTGCAGAACGTTACCAGCTGGCACAACATCCCCAGGAAGGTATGTGCCCCCATCTTGTGTCTCCACTGCAGCAGACCTTGTTGGCCAGGGAGTGCTCCAACACTTGCACGTTCCCAGGGCATTCCGTAGTGTCTACTTCAAAAAGAGAATTGAGCAAACCTTCCGATCTATTTATTTGTTTATTTCGGAGCACTTAGGAGTGAGAAAGTGTTCAAAGTGACACTGACATTCCCTAAGATAGCTTTATTTTGTGCCAGGTGATTTAGTGTGGTCTCGGAAGACTACCCAATCAATACTGTGCTGCAGCGTCGCGTGTTAATAGATTAAAGAAAACACAATTGCTTGAAACCGAAACTGGACCGGGGAGGAAGAAATGTAGAGGAGGAGAGAGTTGCCTCACGTGGCTGCACCCAACCCCTTTTTTTTTTGTTTTTTAGTTGTTTTAAGCAGATGGAAAACTCGCACGTTGCACAAAAAACGGAAAAGCTAAGCACTTGATGCTTGACGTTTGCACGTTTTTCAAGCTCTTACCAATTCGTGTTCATAAGACGAGCAATGTCTTTAGCCAGGAGAAGGGGCGACGACTCAGCGACGTTTTTGTGCAAATCGGCTTGGTAGTCGGGCGTGTTGTAAGGAATAAATCCTAAATGTTTTGATCGGTAAACGATTTCTCTTTCGAAGCTAGACAGATTTGCCGGTACCACGAATGACATTTCCGAAATAGAGGTCCCACGCCCGTCGTCTGCCGCCATTGCATACACTTTGCCGCATGATGAATGATGCTGCTGTGGCAGTCGACAAACTTGCGTGCATGATTGAACATGTTCTTGTTTGGAATTGAGTAGAAGAAGTCTTGTACATTGAGGGACAGAACGTAACGAACGTTTGACCTCCCTGACTGTCCCACATACACTTTGCCACACAATAAATGATGCTGCATCATTTATCATGCGGCAAAGTGTATGTGGGACAGTCGGGGAGGTCAAACATTCGCTCGCCATTGCATGGTCCGCTCCATTCAGCCGCCCAGCCCACGACTCCCACAATATGATGCCATGCTGAGAATTGCACAAAGAATGCAAAGAGTGCTTCCAGTTCTCTCTGGAACCTTTTTTTTTTTCAATTGACATATATGCAGCTTTTTAGAAACCACAAAAAATAGGTATCATATTTTTCTGTATCCTTAATATTGAGTCTGTGCCTTCGCTGATCGACAACTGATCATATTTGGTGTGTGTGTCTAAACCATAGAAAACGGCCCGTGACTACGGAAAAGAGAGTTGGCGCGACTCAAACCGGCCAATTCTCGATCGGCGGTTTTCGTGCGGAAAGAAAATGAATTTCGAGCCGCAAGTTGTGTTTGGGTAGTGGGGCTCTGATACGTCATGTACAAATTAAAACCTTAACGAGCATAAATACCCTGTCTGTGTCTCTTTGATTAACAAATCTGAGCATGATAACCAAATGAAATGTGCAGTTCTCATCACACGTGCCCATAATGCGGGAGGGTGCGGGTTTCCCCGGGAAGCGCTCGACTGGTGGCATTTCTGGCAACTACTCTGGTCCCTTGGGGCAGCGTGGAACAGCCCTCTTGAGGAGTGTCCTGCCGACTTTACCGGGGGCTGCTGAAAGCAGGAGGGTGCTGTCACGCTCTTCGTAAATACCAAAAAACTCTATAGATAAAAAACAAAATTAAGGCTGGAGGGTTTATTAACAATGTCACCATCGAGCAAAAATAAGATTGGAATGCTGTATCTTCAAAATTATTCACAATGACTCTGATTAACCCTTTGCCTACCTAAAAAAAAAAAAAAAAAGAATTTGAAAATACCATTTTTTGTATGCACCTATTCAGTTTCCCGCTAAATTCTGCGGAAAAATTGACGTCAGTGAACTATGCGCCAATTTGTTGTGTCACGTGACGTATTCATCAATTCAGTTTCCCTGCGAAATTTGGCAGAAAAATTGATGTCACGTGGCCTGGTGCCACTGGGCCTACAGACAAATTCAGGTTCCCCGCTAAATGTAGCGAAAAAAGGCTCAAGGTACACCTAAGCACTTCTTATGAGTTCTGAATGCGAAAGCACGCACGCCGCTCTTCACTCCCTTCTTTTGTCTGTTGCGTACGACGCATTGACCTTGCACGTGGAGCAGTGGAGCCGCTGCCTCGCGGACACGCAGCGATATTGGGTGAGCGATCGTTCAAACTGATAGGCCAATGGGAGCCTCGTCAACGTGCGCCAGCCAATGGCATTGAAGCCGAAAATACATCCGCTTTACCTCGCTCCTTTGGGATCGAGGAAACTAGGTGCCGTGTCTTCGCTTTTCGCATGGTTTCATAGCTGAAAGTTGGTTTTACTTGGAGAAAGGATTTAAGGTTTTCGTGTCTCAAACTGATGACGTCGGCTCGCTCCATGAGACCAGTTAATGCTTTCTCGTTAAACTTGTCAGTCAATCGTCATCGTCATATTGTCGAATAAGCAGCACAGCTGTCTCTGTCTAAACATATCACATATCATCGCTCAATTTTACAGGAATTCCGCTTTCATGATCTAGGATTGGTCAGGATCCCACATGGTGCGAGCATATTTAATTCTGAGGCAGATTGGTGTGAGGCAGGTTACGCCCGATGAGACCAGGTGAACGGTTAATTGATGCAAGGTTGCGAATAATGTGGTGCTGCCACCTTAAGTCTCACTGGAACTTAATACCTGCCGTATTTTGCACACATAGCGTTTGAAGCAAAACAACTTTGACCTTTCAACTCTCGAGAAATGCCCATAGCACAGCACTGTCTGGCGAGGGAAATCGAGTGTTTCGCACCAAAAGAACACAAAATCTGCAAAATGAGAAGGTAGCCGGCCTTATTCGAGTGTACACATTCTGAGTGAACAAAAGTTTAACGTGCCACTTGTGAACCAAGGTTTGCACCAGTAGGCCTGGCCTAGGCCAAGTCACGGAGACGAAGCGAGCATCAACACACAGGCAGATAGATAAATCTTGACACACTTTTTTCTTTACTGCTAAAAGATCGGCTAGCCAAAGTCCCTCCTTTTACATGTGGCAGCACGGCTGGAGCATGGCAGATCAAAACTGCTCATCAAACGAAAACGAAGACAGACATGAGAAAATTTTTTGTAGTGCGTGTATACGAAGCCCACTGAACGTTTCACGGGGTCGCGCGACCTCACGGGGGTCACATCACAGTTACGCCAGTGCCGCTCAAGCCAGAAGCGGGCGCCTAGGAGCTGAGCTCTATCATGGTAAATACTTATACAGTGCAATCCAGTTATAATGATCAGAAAACCCAAAAATGCAATCTTTATAACGGATTATTGTTGTATCTGGATTAGGAACTGAGCGTTTCTAGTCTAGAAATTCTAGAAACTGATCGTTATAAACGGTATATCGTTACATGTGGTATCGTTATAAGCGGGTGGCACTGTACCTACAAGTGGCTTTGACTGCATTGTTGTTTAGAAGGTGGCTGCCCAAGTTTGTGCGGACCGTCAAGCTATCAAGGCCCATACTGAAGGGGCGTCTACCACATCCACCGCCGCGACACTTCCACGACGTCGTCGGGCGGAAATGGAGCTTTCGGGGATGCGGTAGACGCACTGGTCGGAATTTCGGGTGTCACGTTCGGCACCGACACCTCCGCTCTGGTTGCAGGGTGCCGAGTACAGCTTTGTGAACTTCCTGGAGCCCGGAGCGGCGGCGGCCGTGGCGGGCCTAAAGCGGGTGCCCGTCGGGCAGGTGGTGGTGAAAGTGCGTCCCAAGCTGCCCCCCCGCAGGCCCCGGGGCCGGCAGCCCCCGCTCTGGGACCTGCCCCCCGTGGACGAGCACCCGCCCGGGGACGAGCTCCTGCCGCACCTGCTGGGGGACGCCCGGGGGGTGAGCTCTCTCCGCCACTTCTTGCGGGGACGGCCGTTGGCGGGAACCCCCCAGGAATTGCGCTGTCGTCCTTCGCAAATACCCCCAGTGCCTCAAGCGTGCACGTGCGGCCGGAGCACACGTTGCAACGAGTGCGTACCGGAGGCCGGGCGCCTAAAAGAGAAGTCATTTTGACTTCGAGAGTGGCCGTAGCCGACGCCCCTTTTTCTTGGCAAACGCGCAGAACCGTTCGAGCGGACGAACTTGCATAGCTTACGGCTAGACCTCCGAAAGTTTGTAGCGGAGTCGATGAGCGCGAGTTTGGAAATGGTTCTAGGGAGGAGGCGCAGGAAGTACGACGACGTTGCGATGGTAGCGAATTGGGCCGGCGCCGAGCTGCTGTTGCCGTGACAAGTGGTAAACGAGGGCGTAAATGCACTCCGATATTTTTGTACCTGCGCGTTGATTGAAGTTGTGGGATGAGTGAGTAGTTAAGCGGCGCTTGAATAGACCCCACTTATGGACACATTGGGGGCCCGGAATACTTATTTTAAAATGGGAAATCCGAGGCTTTTTTCAAATTGTGACCTGCTCTTCCCTAGGCCAATAAAAGAGGGGAACAATGTAGCTTAGCAAGTGGTTCTTACAATAGCCATCCTTACCAATCCAGCACTGTGAAGGGGACTCCCGAAGGTCGTCTGACATTCGAGTGGCTTCAGGGGCTCGTGCATCGTAAGTACAGATAGCTTCGCTTCTGCAGCTAGATGCCACACAAAAGGGAGCGTTTGAAACAGTGTCCGACCTACAGCTGCGCTGCTGGTGCATTTGGCACAGATTGTCCGATAGCTACAAGTTTTGGACAGCTGCGCTTTAAAGGAATGCTGAGCCAAAATTTAGAGTTCAGAAAATGAGGCTGGAGCGAACCCCAGAGCACCACTTGTACGGCAGTATCTCCAACGGGTGGCCGTATTTTTGCAAAACGAGCGCACGATTGAACGAGGCCGACATCTCTCCTTCGCTTCGTCCCCTCGAGCGGGTGAACCGAAGCGAGAAGGAGAAAAGCGAGGCCGCTTCCCCTCATTCTCAGCTGTTCCAGAAGAATCGGGACGTTGCATTGCTCGCTCCATCGCTTCCATCTTTTCCAAAAGTGTGGCCATCCGTTTTAGGTATTGTTGAATGAGCTGTTTTTGGGTGTGGAATATCCCGTTCTACGCTTCTGCGGCATTATTTTCTGGAATCCAAATTTTCGTTCAGCATCCCTCGAGATGCACGTCGGAAAACGGCAATATTTAGCAAAAACTTTGATCCTGGGTTTATGGTGTTTTAATATTCTTTCACCTTGGTCAGGGTGTCTAGCGACCGGGAAAACCGGGAATTGTCAGGGAAATTTTAATTACTGGGAAAAAATCGGGGAATCGTCAGGGATATTTTCAAAAAGCAAGCCCAGTGAGGGAAAATGAGCCAGAAACGCCATCGAGTGCCCTGAGCAAAGACCTGAGGACTTGGGGGTAGAAAGATAGGCAATAAATTCTGCTTAGAGAGGAGCGCGGGCTCTGCTCACCCGATGTAGAGTGTGCTACCCGATGCAAACGGAACAGCCGACAAATCCACTCCAAGCCTTGGATCTGATTGGATTGAGGGTGCCACACTAGGCTAGATCCAGCTGGAGCTACTAGAATAAGTAACAAATGGGAAAGCCGCAGACTCCAATGCAAGCCTTAAGCCGAAAGTATTCGAAAGTGTGCATCTGGCGGCCATGCTGCCATTTGGTTGTGGAAAACCGGATGGCAGCACGAAAACATGTGTGGTTGAGCGTTGTGTTTTCACCTTGTTTCCGGAAGTGGCCTCTTCACTTACGATGTCGGCGGCAAGAAAGTGCTCGTTTAACCCGGACTGGACGAACCCAAATATTTCGAAATATGCAAGTTAGATTAAGCCCATGCAAAATGATCCTCACTGTGCTCAATGCTCATTGCCTTGTGTTGTAATGGTCATATATATATTTAACCGCTTCTACAGTTGTCAGGAAATCTACCTGAAATTGTCAGGGAAAACCTAGAAAAGTCAGGGAATTTCAAGATCGTAATTTGCTAGGCACCGTGTTGATGTATAAAAATAATTAGTGCTAGTTATGATAGCGAAATTAGTCAAAAATGCATTTGAAGACCTCCAGGCAACCCAGAATGCCATGAATTTGAGCAATATTTCTACGCGTGACTTTTCAAGTATGACGTCGCCCACCATACATTTATGTTGAGAAGTAGGCCTAGCTGTCTCCCTTCCATTGCAGTGCTTTCATTCCATTCGCTGCATTTTCCAAAATGCAGTGAAGCCACCGGTCTTGAAACAGTAGGGTGCCCAGGCACGTAGCCAGGATTTTGTTTCGGGGGGGGGGGGGGGGGGGGCTTGCCCATGACAAAATGCTGTATGAGGGGGAGGGAAGAGAGGAGGTACCAGCAAAATGGGAAATTTGGGGGGGGGGGTCCGGGCCTGAGGGTGCCCTATGGTTTGAAGACCGGTGGCTTCACTGCGTTTTCCTAGGAATTAAGCCTTTTTCTTTTTTTACTTTTTCCTCAGGTAAGTTCACCCTTTGCAAATTTTATAGAAAAAATGTACCACCTGTGGGCAACGCTGCACAAAATCTTTGCGCGATAAGTTAAGAAATCGATTTTTACGGTCGATTTAAGGAGCCTGACCGCTAGTTGAGACACCGGGTAGAACTTTAATGTTGTGTAACGCTCCCAGCGTGTTCCGGACGCTCGTTAGTGTCGGTCCTTCCTGACGCTATTTCGGGAGAATTTTCTTATAGAAAACGACATATAAAATGCGTTGTGTTAAAATCTTTAGAACAAGAATAAAGGCCCCTTTGCATACTTGCATTCCGAGAGAAGACCGGCCGTGCCGCAGTGCAGCCGGTCGTAAGCCGTCGCAAGAGGCTTAGAAAGCAGTCTTGTCTTGGCCGGCCAGAGTCGAATGCAAGTGTGCGAATTAAGTCTAGCACGGGTTGCGTGCAGTGCAGGCAACGCCAGGCCGAGAGTAAAAAAAGCCTCTAATAGGAAGGCGGGACGGGAGAGGAGGGCAGTGGAGGGAGAGAGGAAAGGAAGTCTTCAAAGTGCTTGCCATTTCTCCCCTCGCCTGGCGTTGCCTGTGCTGCCCGCAACTAGTGACACGGACTATAGACCCAGTCTTTTTAACCAGTGTTTTCCATTGTTTAACAATGAGCAGCCTTTCAGGTTTGAGTAGTCCTTAAACGGGGTTCCACGGAGGTTTCCCAGACCACCTCGCGGATTCCCCGAGCTGCTAAATTTCTCTGAGCGTCCCTGCCCCCAACTAGAGTGTCCTTCCAGTTACACTCCCTGATACGTAGGAACCGGGAGCTAAAAACTGGCTCTACTTTGTTTCAGCTTAGTTTCGAGCGGAGCCAAAGGCTGGGGAGCGTTTCACCGCTTGGAAAAGTGCGTTCATACGCATCACCAAGTGGTTAGCAAAAGTGTAATTTGAGAAATACTTTGTTTGTGTGCAGACATTTCACAGTTTTCCAGTTGTGTCCTGCTAAGAACTAATTATCCAAATGTAAATGAAATAAATCATGTTCGAGGTTCCTCATAGGTAGTGACTATTTTGACATCCACCTTTAAAAGAATTTTTATATTTTGGCGTTTGTGATGCATGTTCCTGAAGGCGTGAAAATATTTTCAAAATCATTTTGACGTCTCCGTCAAAATATTTGTTTCTCCTTATTTTGACATCTCTAGCTTGGAATTTAGAGCGTTAGAACTTTGGAGCTTCGGAGTACAAGCTGGAAAGTGATCGAAAGTGGCGATCACACTAACATCATCTTGCTTCAATGCGGCGGCGCAGTTGAACGCGCATTTCGCGAAATCAAATGTGCAGTCGACAGCATTTTTTATGACCTTTTAAGTGATGTGGAATGCAAAAAATTTCTCAAAGTACAAGATTAGCTACCAGGCCGCACGTGACGTTTGCCTGGTTGTGGCAAACATTACGGAATGCGGCACTGTTGCTTTTTATGATTTATTTCGCACGTTTTATATAGACAAAGGAGCTGAATGTCATGCCAGGAAATTTGCAATAGATTGGAAAATGCGCGTTTCTCGTACAGCCACGCCAGACCCTTTGTTCATTCGCACCAGTCAAGAAACATCAAGGCGGCAATGTTTGCATTCACAACCTTTTTATTTAACATCCCAATCGCTTCGTAGTTAACCCGCTCGTTATGCACGAACCAAAAAGAAAATCTACTAAACAGCAATCTGGCGAAACCCGGTTAAAAAAGGCGGGAGCCAGATGCAAAGCGAGACTGCAACCATACGAAGACGCCTGTGCCAAATTTCTCAGTGTTGTGTACTATATGCGCTTACATTTGCTAGGTGGAAGCAAGACAGAGGGATATCCAGCTCGCCTTTGTTATAGATTCAGAATTTTAAGTGAGACCTGCGACGAAACGACATGTGAGCTCAGAACGCTCACAACATGGCCTCCGGGCATGTTACGTCCGAAACAATCAACTGCCGAGCCAGTCCCCACACACACGCTGAATAAGATACTTCCACTGCCAACTAGGGCCGAAACTCCTTCGGCACGCTACACATGACTCCATCAACACGTCAACACACTGACAACACCACCAGAAAAGAACGAAACAATGAACTGGCTACCTCCACCACTAGTACTACCACTGCAACGACTGCATCGAAGGGTGACGTCAAAAAAATAAAGCCATAATTTTGACATTTTACAAAAGTGACATCACAGACGTCAAAATAGTTTTTGAGCTGTTGTGATGGTGGATGTTGAAATAGTCTATGCCTTCTTCATAATATAGCAATGAATATGCTTAGGTGAAAAACGCCTACCTGCTGGCGACACTGATGCCACTACTACACATTTTTTTCCCGTTTTTTTCGTGTGATTTTGCGTTCCCAACGGCCGATCGTGGGCTTCAAGTTCGATGCTTTCCTCGTCAACTTGCCGGACATCCTTTTAGTTTTCTGTTTCCCTAATTTCCACTGACAACGCAAGATAAGAACAAGGGCATCTTTGGGCGTCAGGCGCGAAATCGCTATAAATGTGTATTGTGCGTCGTCAGGCATCTCAAACCGTGTCGCATCGCTAAGTTTTTCAACGAACATCGTAGCTGACACACGTTGGGAGATGGACGAAACGTTAATCTGGCGACGGCGGGAAACGCTCTCCGATCAAAAATGGCTTAAAATCAGGTGTTGAGGCGGCGGTTAGAGGAAAAACTGTGCTGTGTCGGTGGAGCACCGACAAAAAGCGTACTCCAGTGCGATCGGAGGGACGCGGTATGCTTTTGTTTCTGTTATGCATTTGCAGAGAGAGCGCGCTGCTTTGTCAGAAATCGGAGAAATCGCAGTTTACCTAGAGAGCTTGCTCAACCCGCTTTTTCCGTGGGCTCTGGACGACACCACGGCAGAGAGGAAGACCCGTCTGGGCACGGAATGTTACGAACTTCCGTGTTCCAGCCCCGGCCTTCCTCTGTCGGCAGTGCGATGGCCCTTCGCTAAGTCCAGCGGCCACCGCACGAAACCGGAGTTTTATTTCGGGATGCGAAATGACATTTTTAATTATGTAGCAGACAAGGCCGTCAGTGGCGGATTCAGAGGGGGGGATCTGGGTGTCCTGACCCTCCTCTTGAATTCTGCATGTGTAAAATCTAAAATTCAGGGCATGGAAACGGGGTGGGGGGGTTCTTATACCTATGATACCAACAGGTGATGCCCCCCTCCCTCTGGAAATACCTGTATCCGCCCCTGTATGCCGTCGATACTCCCATAGCAGACGATATGTCTCTCTCGGACTTTTGTGCACCTCTGCGCAGAATATGTGTGGAGTGATACGCAAAGTGCGAGAGAAGTCGCGTCCACCCGTAGCTTTGGCCACGCTCGGAACTAAGCTGAAACAGAGTATTATTGTGTCAATGCCGGCACGAGGTTTCTCGGCTGTCATTGGGTTCCTAATGGTTGGAAGACAACCCCCGGTTTAGACTTTATCCGTGAGATAGTGCCTCCCGAAAGTATCGGAGAGGGTCGATTGACTGTCCCTCGGGGCAGTTGGACGCCCAGGTGGGGAGGCTGTGCGAGCTGGTCTCCCTGAGCGAGGAGAGCAAGCGTGCCCGGGCCGAGTACTGCTCCCGGCTGTGCGGCCTGCTGCGCCAGTTCTTCCCCGCCTGCAGCCTGGACCTGTTTGGGTCGTCCGTCAATGGCTACGGCGCCCGGGGCTGCGACCTCGACCTCTTCCTCGACTTTGGCTTGGGCGACCCCGACGGGCCGCAGGTGGGTCCCCCCGCGGTCCCCATCGTTAAGGTGCCAGGAACGTGGCCGGTGCGTGCGTCTAAAAAAGAGGTTGTCTCTCGATTTCCGTCCAACTATGCCATAGAAGCGTCGGGTCGTTGCCGGCTGCAATCCTGGCGGTGTCGCAGCGACGGTGCTGGATGCGGCAGACACCCGTTCCGCTGCTGGTCGCCATCCGGCTCGACACCCCACGGACGCCTCGACGGCGACACTCGCATTGACTCGAGCTTTTTACCGGAACTTGTACGACCGATTCCCAGGGTGGCGACGTCCGACGGCGTGATTCTCCGGTTTCTGCGATGTCATTTGTTGCCACTTTGGTACCACTTTGGATGCACGGGCACACCGGTCAAAGGTGCGTTCCGGGCACCGTACCCTCGTCGTCGCCCACTCGAGAATGGCCGAGTGCACGGGGCACCTTTAAGGTGGCCCTGGAAGCGTACTAGAGCAAAGGTCTCGTAGGCAAGATCAAATGTACCTTCGAGTAGGAATGCAACGCAAACGGACATTTTCTAAAGTTTGGAAGCCAATAGAAAGCTGCTTAAAAAAATTTTGAGTATAGGGAAATGGCGGGTGTCCCATGGCCATCCGACAGGTGGCTCCGGCGCATTTCTTCGTGGATAGGTGTACTCGCTCGTAAGCAGTGGCCAGCGTGTGAAGGAGAGGCTCACTGGCACTCTGGGCTGCAACCAAGTGCATTGGACCTCTGGCAATATCTTTCCAGGAGGTCTGTCGGGCGGCCGTGGAACGCTGGACATTTCTGCACATTTTCTATATTTTTGCGCCTTTCGCTCATAAAACCTTTGACCATGTTATAAAGGACTTGCAAGTAGTACTTTTGGTCTTTCAAATAATTCCTTCTTTGAGTCTATTGTAAGGCAGTTGCAGAGCCAGCTGGTAGGCAGCGCCAGCGTGGGAGCACGAGTACTCGTTTGCAGCCAAACGTGAGAGGGTCAAAGGGAACTCCGCTTCTTTTCAGTCTTTGAAGTATCAGCTGGGAAGACAGCAAATATTACCGCATGGTTCTCTCGAAATGTTTCTCAAACGGTCCGACAAAGTTTGCATCTCACAAAGTTGCCGGAATCGGCTGACTCGAGCGGGCGAAGGGAGGCACAATCAACAGTGCGGTTGAGGCTATGGCACGGAAGTAGCCAACCTTGAGCTAAACATCATCACCATTGCCCCTTTCTGCTTGTTTTTACTTCTTCGGGCAAGCCTAACAGGTGATGTCAGCAACGTTTCCTCTTGGCGCTCAGCCATGTCCACGTGATCGGCCTAAGGCGCCTACGCAGCATGCTTCTTGGGAGCCATCCGGCCGCCCCACCGTGGTCCCGCCATTACCGTCGTCTCCCGCGTCACAACCGCCGTTGTTTCGTCGCTCGTGATTATTGTCTCTCGGAGTTTTGTTCACACTACGGACACTACGTGTGCAGACCTATGCCATAGTTGGGCAGACGTCGTCGAATGTCGTAGACGACAAAATGTGGGGAAGACGGCGGTGCAGACGACACTTTCGCCTTGCACACGCCTGTTCCAATCCCGCTCGTCGTTGCCTGGAGCAGTGGTTCTCAGCCAATGATCTTTCGCAGACCCCCTGTGGATCGGCGGAGATGATGGAGGACCCCGTGCGGGGTGAGAGGAGAGGAAAGGTAGAGGTTACATATAATAATGATTTAACACATGTACATAACTAAGGGCTCATGTGAAGTAGACCTCTCTTATTGACATACACGCGAGTAAACTCACCCAAAAATTGGAATGTTTCCTCTCAATCGGATAAAAGACAACTTTTATTGCCAAACTTGACTGACAAGGCAAGGCTTTGTGGACCCCTAGAATGCCTTCGTGGACACCCATTTGAGAACTGCTGGGCTAGAAGATCTTTTGAGATCTCGTACCACGTGTTAGCCACGTTCTTGGCGGCCCGAGGTTAATATTGCTGGACTGAGCCAAAGTTTCGGTTTCGATTTCTGCTCGTGTTTAAAATTGTATTTAAATATATACGTCCCGTTTTTCACGAAGCATACGACGCAGTATCTTCTACTGGGCCATTTTAATGCAAAGTCACTCATTATCCCGATATATTGGGAATGGAGCGGAGTTGCCTTTTAAAGGGTGCTCCTTCAATTTTTTGCCTGCTCCCGCTTTGGATACGGCAACTTTTCGGGGCTTCTTGATGTTGCAACACTGGCCGCGATGGGCCTCTCACGTCGACACGCAACTACCGCCGAAACTGAAATTGCTCTGTTCTGTCATTGTCATCATAAAAATTGTACATCTTTGCGCCGTGTTGAGGCAAAGCTAGGCTTTAATAAGACGTCCCCATATCTCGTCTTGAAAGGATTTATAGTCGCCAATAAGGCGAGAACTGCTGGGAATTTCTCTCGAGTGCTCAGCCTTTGGCCTGTGCTTGTTTACTTTATTTATTTAATTTGATTTATTTCCTTCCTCGGGGACCTAAGGCATTACAGAGGGGAATGGATGAAAAGCACCCGAATAACATGAGCGGAGAAATATAGGCGGTCGAATGTAAAACAAACAGAGCGTCGAAATACATGCACAAAGATATTTAGAGGCAGTTAAACGTAACACGAAACTGTTGATCCAGATAACAAAAGAAATTCACAAATGGCAATTTTAAATTGAGCACTTTCGACTACCGTAAAATCCCCAGAGATAGCCCACCTAAAATCAATAGAAAATTGGGGGAAAATAAGAAGTGGACTTAATTTCGTTGTGTGTTTGAGAAAAGTTGAAGAAATGCTATTTTTAGATTATTTGTCTCTGTGAAACTTGTTATTGCAGCGAGGGGGAAAAAATACTATTTTTAGATTACGTGTCTCTGTGAAACTTATTATTGCAACGAGAGGAAATGAAGCAAAAGAGGGCTGCACCAACACCTCCTAGAAGAGAAGACCGTGGCGCTCTTCTCGTGACGTGCTGGAGGAAGGCCATTGGGGGGGCGCGTCGAAGCGAAGGCAACGCGCGTGGATCGACCGTCGTAACGCGCTTTCAGTCACATGCGCGTGTCTTATGAGCTAAAATGAATGCTGCACATAGCAAGGGGTCTCGAAAATATTTTATTACACGGGCAAAACATTACACCGCCAAATAATCGGTATGAAATGGTACGAGGTAGGTGTATAAGAAAAAACATTGAGTCACGCACTTATTGCTGTAGGAATGCATGTTCTACGCAGAAAGACTTTGACAAAATGGCGAGACACGCAGTGATTGAACACAGCAAAACAGATTACAGTTAAAAATCAGGTAGACATAGTCAACGCGGACACGGCTAGACAGGTGTCACTTACATTCATGTAAGTAAGGCTATCGCGTGCAGTCACTGAATTCTTGCATCGTGCTCCGGCCACATGGCAAGAGTAATGTAATTTCGATGGAATGACATTGTGGGGTCGACAAATCAGCTTGCGACGCTCGTATAATCACTCAAGACCGCGAGCTGATTAAGTCCCATATCATTTAATGAAAATATATTAACTTTTCCGTGTGGCAGGGGTACAAAACTTACTATTTGAAGTTAACTAATTTACTTCTTCCTATGTGCTCGATCTGCCTTGCAACAAAATATCTTATTTGTATACAATAATGCTATTACCTTAATACAGGTAAGATTCTAGGATAAAAGCGGTAAAGGCAATAAAATAACATTAGTATAAATAAACACATAAGCACAAACAACACACTTTGTATAATCGCACAGACTTGTTATTCACCTTCCAGTGAAAACTAGAATATTACCACGCATATTTACAAATGTCATTGCAACCGCTCATCGATAACGACAAACAAGATGCCATTCTATCACGAAAAACAAAAACAAAAAAACAACCCGACTGCAGCACTTTACTCGCGTCCCACATGACCGCAAGAATGCTAAATACCTAAGTTGTTCCTCACCTGTAGATCGTATCCATACGCCCCACAATATCCGTGACGAAAACATTTGAACACAAACTTTTAAGTATCTCTCTGTCGAAAGAGAGGTCTATCGATAATCGGCCAGTGTCATCAATGGCTAGTTGCCACACACGTCAGTCAAACCGTAGCAGGACTTGTTCCGCGAATCCACGTAAATGCCGTAGTATCAAGCGAATACAAAAAAAACTACCCGAGACTGCGGTGACGACCAAGAAACGACAGGAAGGATCAAAAGAACCACACACACATACACACGAGAGCAGCGGCTGCAGTGTGGGAGGCTTATTGTCGTCGACCCATCTCTTGCTCGCGTGCGCTCCCTGCGGCAATGACTGGATTTTTTTTTCGGTTCCCTTCCCTTCTGAAAGTCTCAGCGTTTTTTTTTAGACAGTCAGCAGCTCACACTCAACGTAAATTTACCAGAATCTGAGCCTGTACGACGGAAGAAAACGTCGCAGCGGACCGGTTCCTTCGAAAAGTGTGGGGCTCTGCGGGACTGCACGTAGTCCCGCGGTTACGGGGATAATCATAAATATAAAATTGGTACTTTCAACCTTGGTGACGCGTTGTATATTACGTCTATATTATATATATAATAAATTGTAAAATACTGCGCTTTTAAAACACATATTAATGTCGGATAAACGCTCACGAACAACCCGCGTTGCTCGACAAGAAACGTTTTCTTCACGTCGATACCAGAAATATTTCTCACATAGTTGCGCTATGGACCTCCTTCTCCGACATTGTGTTGAACCACTCGGAGCGCTACGGCCTTCTCTTCTAGGAGTTGTTGGCTGTACTTCCCAGTCAACAATGTTCTCTTATATCCTGCCATAGCTAACTAGACGCATTTACGCCAAAGTCATCATTGATCCCAACAGTGGGCTATCTTTTGGTGTTCAAAATAAAATAGCAAATCGAGCCAAAAACAGGGGGCCTTTCTGGGGCAGGCCTCTTTGGGGATTTATGGTGTGTTGGTGATAGAGGCGGGAAAGCGATTCCAATCCAGAGATGTTGTGGGTGTAAGACACCGAGGAAAACCTGACGAGTGACAAAGGGAGATGCCTACTTTATTTCGATGATTGACACGTGATGAGAGATAAGATGGTTGCGTTAAGAGAGGCTGACACGGTGAAGGGTTATCGGGTAGACCTTGGGAAGTAAGCCAAGCCGGCATACTTTTGTGCGGAGGGGGAGGTCGGGCAGCCCTAAGGTCATTTTCATTGCTGTCACACTCGATGAGTGAGGATAGATGCCTAGTATGAAACAAACGGTTTCGAACGGCTTCTAGCGATAATGCGAGAGTTTTAGCAGAATCCCAGATAGTGGATGCATATTTGAGCTTGCTGTGAATTAAGAATTTATAAAGAAGCAGTTTTAAGGACAGCGGTGCGAGAGGGAAGTTTCTTTTGACGAAGCCGAGCATGCGATTAGCTGTATTAGTTACATATTCAGTATGAGTAGTATTCCGCTATTCCGCGTTAGGTTATTAGTCATTAGTACCAGGCACGTAGCCAAGATTTCGTTTCGGGGGGGGGGGGGGGGGGGGGGGGGGAGCCCACCCATGACAAAATGCTGTATGAGGGGGGGGAGGGGGGAGAGGAGGCTTCAGCAAAATGGAAGATTTTGGGGGGGGGGGGCCATGCCCCCCCCCCCCCCCCCCCCCTCCCCCTGGCTGTGTGCCTGATTAGTACCCCGAGGGATTTATATGAAGATAGAGAATCTAATACAACACTTTGGATGCGGTAGAAAGGAGTAGTGTTATTCTTGGATGGATTTCCACTCTTTAATGTTAAGTTTCATTTGGAAGAAATATTGTGAGTCTGAACATGAGAATTATTTCAGAATGTATTACACAGTTGTGGGTAAATATGGAGAATGAAGGTGAATCATAAATAGCTGCATATTTCTGCTTGAGGCTCACCAGCAGCGTTATTGAAGTCACTGGGGAGACGGTGGGGCTCCATCTGGTGCAGCTCTAGCGTGCACACTCTGCAGAGTGCGTTGGAAAAACACGCCTGTCAGTCAATTCCTGTCAATTTCAGTCAATTGCGATGCAACCTAAGACCCGCATTCAGTTTATTTATTTCATTTCGGTACCCTCGGGCCTTACGGAGGAGTGGCAAGAACAAAACATAGTACAAAAATTTAACGAGGCAAAAAGCAGTCAGGGTGCCTGCTGACAAAAATGGCTGGTTATTGCATCTCTAAAGGAGTCCATTGATGATGTGGACACTAAAGATGCAGGAGGGTGGTTCCACTCCAATGACGACCACGGAATAAAAGAGTCGAGGTAGGCGGAGGGGGGGGAAATTCCTACTTTATGCTCACGATCAAGGTTTTGCGGGGGAGGGAGAATGAGTTTTCCTTTAAGAGGAGGGATAGAGTAGCAAAGTTTTTGAAAAAGGGATAGACGAGATACTTTACGGCGCAGAAAAAGAAGGGGCAAAAATAAGTTAGATTTCATGGATGACACACTGGCTGAATGACGATAATTACAAAAGATAAACCGTGCAGCACGGTTTTGAATGGCTTCAATGTTAGATACGAGTGTGGTGTGACTGGGATTCCAGATTGCTGCGGCGTACTCCAATTTAATGCGTACCAGGGTTTTGAATAAAAGTAATTTCAGTGACATTGGTGCTGAAGTAAAATTCAGTTTTAAGTAACCTAGCATGGAGTTAGTATTAGCAGTGATATGATCGATGTGAGTGTTCCGTGACATGTTGTCAATAATATGAACGACTCCACAATATTTGTAGGAAGTTACGATTTCCAAGGGCGAGGTACCAAGGGTGTATGAAAGTGGTGATGAGTTACATCGAGATACACGCATCGCTTTGCATTTGTTAATGTTAAAATGCATATACTCTGCATTGCACCAGTCCAAAACAGTAGCTGCGTTCGATTTACTTACAGCTTCTGCACCGGTGGAGAAAACTCTAGGACAATGTACTTCCGGTCGTATCTGAATATACATACCGAAATACACTGCCTCGCACTTTTCTGCACCGGTGTAGGAGGTATAAGTGAATCGAGCGCAGCTAGTGTCTAAGTCAGTCGGAGGAAGTTTTCACCACCTCGGGGGGACTGCATGACCATATTGCATCCCCAATTAACTGCTGCCACTTTAGGTGCCTCTGAGCGGTCCGAGTTGCTCGCTACCTTCTCATCCTGACCCGATCCGAACAGTTCGTGGTGCGGTGCAAGAATCTAGAGAACAATAGTTGATTAACGTAGAAGTTTGGGCTAGTTATTTTATCGGGTCTAGAGAACAACTCGCCAGCAACCCTCAGCTATCCAAACTGCATTTTTGGAACACCCAAGTTTCACTCTTGCCACCATTCTTTTTGCTATCTCTAGATTCGGGGCTAGTTACTTAAAAAACAGCGAGTGAGGACGACGGTCTTTTCCAGTGGAATGCCATCCCTGGCAGGCAGGGCAGGGAACGGAGCATGGCGCACATTTGTTTTGTCACGTTGAAGGAGTGCCCAAGTGCATTCATTTTGCACCATCCAACTTATCACTTGGGAGAGGTTCCGCTGCCCCGTCAGTAAACTTGCGCCGCAGGATCTTTCAGTTTAGAAGCTTTCACCTCTTTGTGAGACCGCGGCGTCATCTGGCAAGGCCATGTCGAGACCGCCGCCGGTAAGCAGAGACCGCCACTTGCAGGCAAACGGCCCGTCGGACGACCAAGTGCCCCTCCCCTCCGTCGCGGAGCTGCTGGCGGCGGGTCCGGACGCCGCGGCCGAGGTGCTGAAGGAGCTGCCGCCGCGGCACCGGCTTCGCTTTGTTTGCAAGGCGCTGAAGAAACGCTTGGCTCCCATCCAGGTGTGCTGCTTCATCAGCGCCCGCGTCCCCATCGTGAAGCTGCACGACCCCCGATTCGGGCTGAGCTGCGACATCAACTGCACCAGCAGGTGGGTTCCCTCCTCTCCCTGGGACGCATCCAGTGCGGTCTCAAATGCGTCTCGCCAGAAAGGAGGAGAGTGTCTTCTGGCTGCTCTGGTTCCTCTCGAGCCGAAGAGTGGCCGGCGACAGCGCGACGCTTTTATGACTCGGTTGACTGGAAATGGAATGAGCACTCTTTGGGACGCGGTGAATGCATTGGATGGAAAGTGCCTTTTGGGCAGTGTTCCCCGCTGCATTTCTCTTCGTTTCCTGGGCAAATACGAACGCAACAGTTGAAACTATTGCATTACGAATAGTGGAATTGGTTGTATTTTTCGAGTGCGGGTTCTCGGACTGGGTTCCTCGACGGGTTCCCAAGAGTACTTTGACGGGATGCATCCAAACTCTCTCGCGCGTCCCTGTCCTCGAGGTGAAGTGCTATTTTAGTGGATCTGAGCCACCCATTGAGTCGCTCTCTCGTTTATGCGGGGTTGTCTACGAGGTCTGAAGACTTCATTAAATCATTGCCACTATCCGCACCTACAGGATGCGGCCGTAAAAACTTTCACATTTGGCACGCCTAGCAAATCGAATTTCAAACGTATATACCTGAAATTGAGCACACGAACGTCGTGTATTCCAAAGTTTTTTGCCTATTTTTTCAGATGTCAACTCAAGAGTAGTGGATTATTAGAAAGATAACAAACATGGCAGACATACATCTCCTATGGCCTATACCCGCCCGTTCGCCATCTGCAATCTGGTTCGCGACGCCGCTCCTAGGTGGTGCACCGAATGCAAAACCGCGGGAAACGCCGCACAAAAGGCTGTCGTCAAGCAAGATAGTCGCGATGAAGTGATTTTAACGAAATATATAAACGATTGTTGAAATTACCTGTTTCAAGTCAAGTTTTGAGAGGTCGTCATGCAAGCAAGAAGACACCATGATGGGACGAGATCATTTATTAACAGCCTGGAATAGCAAGTGGTGCTGCTACCGTTGCAGACAACTTCATTTTGAGTTATCATTTCATTCTGATTTTTACAGGGCTGCTCTCATAAAACAATATTTTTTTGTCATACAGCTTGGGTATAAGTAACACATCTCGCGAGACATATTTGTAAAAAAAAAAAAATCGTATTGATTGGAGCAATATTTACGGTGCTAGAGTCATTTTGGGCGGGCCGGTGTTAAAATGGCTGGTAAGTCAAATCCCGCTACAACAAAATTGACGGTGCGCGAGAAAAAATTCGTTGTACAGTGTAGACCGCATATAACGTATGTCGCGGGAGTCGCGAAAATCCGCACTATAAGCGGTACCGCGCTATAACCAAAACATCAATTTTTCAGGCCAAGATACATGCCATGAGACAACTTTCCTTTGTAAAAGAATTTATTTTATGCTAGATGAAAAACAAAGCTTACTTTGAGGAGAGTTTTTATTTCACCAGACTAGTACAGTTCTGTCTCAAGTGTGTCACACATTTTGAAAGAAATGAGCGGTTTTTGCCTGGCGCAGCCTTTTAACGGCGTCGCGGGTTGCGGACGGACGTAGCGAGCGTTCAGGATTGCTAACCCTAATCACTTTTCTCCGGAGATGAAAACGCGTGAAAATTCGCATCCTTTATACGGTACGCGCCAGTAATACCTTGAACTTGAGCACACGCATGAAATGCGCCAAATAAGAAATCCGGGCGATGTTCGAGGACACAAATGCTTAGAAATCACCACTGTAGTCGAAGTAAACAAACACGACGACACGGGCGTTTCTGCCGTCTTGAGAGCGCCGCCACGACATCGTCGCACGAGTAGGAGGATCTTCCCGTCTAGTACATGCTGGGTTATCATAGCGACACACAACGAAAATTCACAGTCAAGGATAGCGCTTTTACGCGATGAGATGAACGCTGTCAACATCGACGATCACAACCGACGCCATGTTCGCGGATAGAAGCGGCTGCGCGACCGGCATGCAACGCGCGCGAACACTTCCCCTCGACCTGCGATTGGTCTGCCCTTGCGGTTGTTTGTTTCCAACGCAGCGGAGGGACGCACAGTGGATGCACGCACGTGAACGATACGTGCATGCGTCCCTCCGTCGTTATGGCAACTGAAGTTTCTCTCTTCGCTTCCCCCGCTTCTTCCAGCAACCTCCTTGCTCCGCGTGTGCCGCTTGCGGCCTTGCGGCTCGTCTCGTGCCGTCAGTGCCGTTATCTGGTGTCACACAGGGAAGCGTGCTCGCTGCTCCGGTCGTCGGCGCGGTCGGCGGGCTGTGCCAGAAACCGCACTATAAGCGGTATTTCCCATCGCGCGCCTGCATTTTAAGCGGTATGCAATTACATGGAGTTCTATGGGAGGCGAACCGGTGGTTTAAAAAAACCGCGTTATACCCGGTCCTGCACTATAAGCGGTTACGTTGTAAGTGGTCTATACTGTAGCGAACATTTTGTTGTTGTGAAATTCACAGAAGAATGGCATACCTGAACTGATAGAGTACAGAAATTTTTATTTCCAGAGTGTATCGAGCGTCGCCTGCTTCCTTTTCCTTGTTAGGAGCTCCGTGACGCGGTTTTTGCATTCGGCGAGTAGCGCAGTTCCGGCATCCTGAAGCACAGCCCAAGAAGTAGCGGCCTCTCCCGGTGGACGCACTGTTTCGTTATCCTCAGCGAAGTCGACGTCTGGGTCTCCGAGCTTGAAGTGCGTGAAACAGTTGGCGATGACTGAACGTTTGGTTGCAGCCCATGCAGCAGCCATCATCTGCAGCTTTAGGATCGTGGACAACAAACTCGGAGAAATTCCAAACTTTTGGGTGATGACAGCTTCCTTCTGTCCACTTGGAACTTCGGCCAGGATGTGAGCTTCATCTTGTAAGGATAAAAACTTTTGCATTTTGCTTGGTGGTGCCATCGTGCCATTTGCAAAAAGCCCGCGTACCGTCGTTGTCGTTGTACCGTACTGATAAAATGACAACCGACAAAAACAAAGAAAAAAACAACAACAAGACTGAGCTTCGGCTTTGAAAAGTTTGCAGCAGAGCGTTATCAAGCCAAGAGCTAGAGCAACATCGGTGCAACAGCGTAGGAAGGCCAGCCTCATCGCCGTCGCCATCAAGTAATGGCAACCTGCACTCCCGGTCAACGTTGCGCTCGAGTACTGGTTATTAGTGGCAGTTTCTGGTGGTTCAACACGCGATTTAAACTTTATAGTAGACATATTTTATGTGCCAAAATTCACCAGTGCTCGAAAGTTTGTTTTCCGTACGGAAAATTAAACTTTGGAACTTCGAATTGCTCTGTAAAATTTCGTTCAAACGGAACAGCACAAGAAACAGTGTTTGCTGTAGTGAGAAATCTTATGCATTGACTCAGTCAATTGGACCGTTGACGGGGAACCGAAAAATATTCGTTGAATCGGAAATTTCGTTCAAGCGGCGTTTGTTGAAGTGGGGTTCGACTGTAGTCATATTTTTGCTCGTTTCCCATTGGTACCTCTATCAGCAACCTCTACACTGCTTTTGGATACATGGTTTTGGGCAAAAAAGGTGGACACAAGAGAGAGAGAAAGAGAAGAGAGCCATCTACATTGGCTCTCTGCGTTCTGGACATTCTAGCGTGCCGTTACCGCAAGGTGAGGCGCTTCTTTGCTCACAGGTTGAGTCTGGTCAACACGCGGCTGCTCCAGCTGTACAACGCCGCCGACCCCCGGGTGCGTCCCCTGGTAGTGTTTGTGCGCACCTGGATGCGGTCCCACTTCCTGCTGACCGGCCGTGGAAATACCCTGACGTCGTACGCAGCCTCGATGCTCGTCGTCTGCTGGCTTCAGCGGTGTGCACGGCCCCCGGTGTTGCCGACTCCGGAGCAGATGATGGCACGGCACGCCGAGTCCGGCGGCGAGACGTGCGAGGTCGAGGGCCGCGAGTGCGGCTACATCGTCAAGGGGGAACCGTGCGCAGTGCCCACGGAGAATCGGCAGACTCTGGGTGAGTGGGCCTTGGGTACAAAACTGCGGCTGGCTCGCTGGAATGCGTCAAGGTCTTGGGGCCCCACATGTCCGCTAATCTCTGGTGTTTATTGAGACAGCGTGCTAACAGGTGACAATATTCGTAAGTTGCACCACTGCTGGAACACCCTAAGCTCTAGAATGTACATTGAAGGATTTTTTCGTGTATTTGATGCACCGTTTGTTTATTGATGCACCTGGCATCTTGACATAAGCTTTTCACAAAAGCTTATGTTAAGATGCCAAGTGGAATAGAACAGAAAAAGGTCTTACTTGATTGTGAACACCATCTTAGCTCCCGACCCGTGCTGGCAGCTCCTCCGCACGTGAGGGCCAGCTGCCTTCGGTCGCCGCTGTCAGTCCCCCGCAGCACAGCATGCATCCCTGTAATGTACCTCCCCCTCGAATTCAGTGTCCCTCAGGGAGAGTACTGCACCACAGGTCGTCATTCCCTCGATGATCTTCTTATTTTCGGTGTTAACAGCAACTCTGGTGTTGGGGACGATTGCCCAGCTGCAGATTGGCCTTTCCCCGCAGACACTTGTGGCAGAGGTCCTGATGGCCTTTCAGTCGACTCCACAGTTGCATGCAGCAGGGGTCCTGCCTTTGGTATGCCTGGTTCCCCTGGCACAACACTGACACACACGTCAGTAGTAGACGATTCAAACTCTGACGCCCCATTCTCTTCTGGCGCCGCGGTTGTTCGCTCTCCCAGATGGTCACCACACCGATTACAGGTGGTGCCGTCTTCCAGTACTACCATAGCCGATGACGCACCGGTAGGCTCTCCAGCGGTTGCAGAAATTCCCCTGTCTCTGGGTCTAAAGTTGCGAGCCCACAGACATTCACTTGGCTGTAGCAGACCTTCCCGCTTGGCAGCCCTCTTGGCCCTTTCCTTTTGTTGCTGCTGTTTGTAGCCAGCCCTGACCCAGAGATCTGGCTGTAGGAGATTCAAGGCATTCTTCAGGTGGCGTCCCATGAATAACTCGTTAGGCGTTTGACCAGTTGGCTGATGTGGCGTTGTCCCGTAATTGAACAAAATTCTCGCAATCTTGGTTTCAAAATCACCCTGATCAGCCTTCTTTAGTTTATCTTTTATCGTCCGCACTACCCTCTCAGCCGCCCATTGGAAGCAGGGTGATAGGGCAGGCGCCGTTCTTGGACAAAAGCTCCTGGATTTAGCATCAACAAATGCTGGCTCGTTATCGCTTACAGCAATGTCTTGCTGGCCATGGGTGGCAAATATGGTCCGCTGGCACTGCACAGTTGCACCAGCCAACGGAGATGACTCAGAAGATAACCTTCTCGAGTGCAGTGAAGAGGAAATTCTCGAGGGCCTGCACAAAAATGCTCCTGTTACAGTTGGAAGGATTGCGACGAAACGTGATGGAGTGGGAAGAACCTACTAACCACTTAATCCTAACGTTTGAAATGCATGCCCTCCCATCCGCCGTTAAAGTGGGGTTATTAAATTGCAGAGTCCACCCATTTATTCTGGACCCTCGGTGCTGTTTCCGCCTTCAACGTTTTGGGCATGGTTCACGTAACTGCTGTGGGAAGAAAACTTGCGGAAAGTGTGGTGGGACTGACCCCGTGGCCGATATATATGAAAACAACGTGAAGTATGCCAACTGGTGGAGCCCACTCTGCCTTTTCTCACTGTTGCCCAAACTGGGAAGACGACATTTTGACACAAAAGTGAAAGAACAGGCAATGAGGAGGGGACTGTCCACGGGAGGTGCGTGCCCTCCACAGGGTTCCCTGCAAGTGGTGCACTCCTGATCACTTTAAAAGGAGGGAACCAGCCTCCAAGAAACCCTCTGGTGTCTGCTGGCCCTTCAAGCTGAGGCCTGCCTGTGCCTCTGGCATTGTACCAAAGCCAGGCCCATCGGGTGAGAACGATAGCTGCTCTCCCTCTGACCACCACTCATACATTCCAGTAGAGTCCACATTCCTCAGATTCTGGCACCGAAAGAATAGTGATTTCTTGACATTTGAATGCTTTATTGTGTCCTTCAGTGGACCTGTTGTGGCCTCTTTTCTAATTATGATGATGTCACTGGCTTACTAGAGGAACATAATCCCATTGCATTTGGCCTGCAAGAAACACATCTCAGTGATTCCCGCTCAAATGTACTGGGACACTTCTAAGTCTATCCGAAAGACGGAGCACATTGCAGTCACGTCTCGGGGAGTTCTGCCGTAGTTGTGCAGCGGACTACTCCATGTTTGTTGCATTGTTGGAGCGTTTTCCACTGTCTAGAGGCCCACATTTCAGTGCTGCTACAAGAACTTTCTTGAGCATTGACCTCTCCCTTTTTGATCCTCCATTATTTCCATTTTTCTCTCGGAAGGTTATTGAAAATCCTTACGAGAGCGATCATTTTCCTTTTATTTTAGAAGGTCACACCCCGGTTGCTGCTGTTTCCACGTGGTCCCCATGTTGGAAGTGTGATAAAGCTAACTGGTCCCTTTGTAAGCAGAGATCTGTTTCAACTCGTTAATCTCTAGACAAGTTCTCAGTTGACAGTGAAACGGAACACATCGCGAAACATATTTTAGATGCATCAATCATTGCAATAGCCATGACATGGACTCGTCTCCCCAAGCGGCCAAAACCATGGTGGACTGCCGCATAGGAAAAAAGAAGCAAAACAAAGGGAATTTTTAAATAATTTGATAGCCCAAGCAGGGTGTATTTGCAGGCACTCTAAACTAAATAGCTGGATGGGGTATTCATAGTCTATAAACAGTCATGCATCACCCAAGGAGGTGAAGAATCTCCTTTCCTCTTTCCACTAAAGATGGGATCTGCCCTGACAATGTTGAGTCTGTCATTCGGCATGAGCCTCAAGCTGAGAAACCTTTTGACCTTCCGTTTGCACACTATGAACTTCAAGCCATTTTGTACAGTTGCGAGCAAACTGCCCCCGGTCCTGATGGCATCCATTATAATAGGCTATGTCATCTCCACCCCTCGGCACTCATTCTGTACTTATTCAGTTGAGTTTGGCCGGAGGGTCAGTGTCCATCATCTTGGAAGGTCGCTATTGTCATTCCTTTGCTCGAGCCAGATGAAGATCCTTGCAATGGTTCCAGTTACAGACCAATAGCCCTGACTAGTTGTCTCTCAAAAAATTGACCACATCTCCACGTGGTGAATGATGTTGATTGGGGCGAAGCTCTGGTGGTGCTTGTCTGCGTAGACGCTGAGCCGCAGCATGCCGAGCTTTTCGTTCGTTTTCATCCATGTCAGAAAGAGAATGTGTGGTATAAAAGTGGTTAATTACGCATTTGACCGCAGCGCCCTCTTGTCTATAAACGTTGAGCCAATGCGTGCAAAGTTTAACGCAATTATATACGCATTTGACCGCAGTGCCCTCTCCTGTATAGACGTTGAGCGGTTACATGCAACGTTTCATCCATGACATCCCCAGCTCTTCAGTTACTACCACATCTCAGAGCCCCCCACTCGTCCCGCAGTCATGGCCGAGTGGTTAAGGCAATGGAATAGAAATCCATTGGGGTCTCCCCGCACAGGTTTGAATCCTGTCGACTGCGCAAACATTTTTTTCTTTTTATCATTTTTTTTTTTTTTTTGCCTTACATGAGCACGTGAGCACTTGAGCTCACGAGCACGAGCACCAGCAAGATCGATGTGAGCACGAATGCCGGACGGACAAGGCTAGACCCCAAGGAGTTTCGCCCCTAACACTCTTGAGAGGATGATAAATAAAGGACGTGTTTTGCTTAGAATCAAACTGACTTCTGTCTGCGCACAGCTCGATCCACGGTTGATACCTGTTTCCAATTTGAGACTACCGTTCGGAAGGCATTTGTAAATCATCGGCATTGTCTTTTTTGATTTAGAGAAGGCGTATGATGCGACGTGGGGTTTTGTAATATTGCGGGATTTGTTTAGCTCTGGTGTTGAAGGCCGAATGCTAAGTGTTATCTTTGGAACATGATACTTTTTGCGTGAGGTTGGGGACAACCCGGGTTTCTTAAAAGCTGATCAGTAGAAACAAACTTGACTGCTCTCCTTGGTGACAGCAGACCCTCCGTGGACACAATTTACTTTGACCTGACAAAGGCATTTGATACTTTTGACGAAATTGAAAGAACATGGATTCTGTCCATTGTATTGCGCATGATTTAAGAGCTGTCTCGATAGTCTCCAAAAGCAGCTCTGTGTGTCCGAGCCATTTGCATCCTTATCCGGCGCACCACAAGGTTCTAACTCGGGACCGGTCTTGTTTTTGGTGTTTGGAATTGATTTATTACCATGCATTAGCAACTCAAAAATGCTAATGTGGTGACTTAAAACTGGTCCGCAAGGTAGATAATGAGAAGGACTTTTTATTCCGCTCCGTTAAGCAATGGTGTTTGATTAGGGGAGGACAGGGGCCTAAGTTTTGAAATTGTTTGAAAAAATTAATTTTTTGATTTTGAGCTTTTCGGTTTTAGAAACTAATTATACACCCTTGCACTAAATTTCATAAGCATGCACCAAATAGTTACGTTAATATAAAATATTTTCTACACATTGTGAGGCAGTAACAAAGTAAAGGAGTTCAATGTTTGAATGCATTCTTCTCAGTTCCTCTTTTTGCTGCAAATTTCATACGAAGGAATCTTTGGTTCGAAGGTAAAATTATTCTAATGCCACAATCATATTTTGAGGTAATAACTCTTCCTGAAATATTTACATTAGAGTTATAACAACTAGGTAGCCCGAAGTCCCACATCCCCCACTTTATATTCAAGCAGTTAGAATGATGCTTAATAGCTTCATTTGGAAATCATAGATTTCTTAACGAAGAGTGACACATCTTCTTATGCAGGTTTGTAAAGTTGTCCTAGAGAACTGAAAGTTTGCACAATACACCTACATCTGAAGTTAACTCTCCCCTGCAAATTTCATTCCAATCACTTGCGTGGTTCAGAAGCTCAACCTCTAGCCAGCGTCCCCCCTTAATAGGCTGCAACTGAACCTAAAACGACGCTGGTAATGTCTCTTGCTAGGAAGGAGAACCTAGTTTTCGACTTTTCTTTATTTTATGAATAAGGCGAGTACTTTACGTGCGTGGTCTGGGTGTTCTTGTCGATTCTGGGTTAGATTTTTGTCTACATGTTTTGAGCATTGTTAACTTGGGACTACACAACCTGGCCGTCATTTTGCGACTCACGAGAAAATTTCGTAATTCCAAATGTCTTTTGGGGACACACCCCCTAGGGGGGTCAAGTTTTGAACCCTTGTCTTAATATTAATGACATTTACAGGGTAGGCTGGTGGTCATGCTAGAGGGTGTATAACAAAATTTCAGGTCTCTCAGGTAGATGAGAAGGAAATTAGAGTAGCTTTTACCAGCAACACGCCTACATTATTAAGTTAATCTGTCGTCAGAAAACTGTCACCATATTCAAGAGTTTTATTCGCTAGATATGTAGCAGAATGCCTAGAGGGTGCGGCTATAGAATGTTTTTTTCTAAAAAGTCATTTATTTTTATAAATTTTCTCTTCTGCAAAATTGGTCAACTTTTTGGTCTTTTGTGTCTTTGACAAAATGTCAACATTTTTTATAAAAGACATCCGTAAAGTGACAAAAAGTTCCATAGCTGCATTCCTTATTAAATTTCAGTCAGGAAAAGGGAAGAATGAACCTTCCTTGTATTGCCATTATCAAACGATAGATTGACTAAAATGGAATTTATACCAAAAAGTGGAACGGAGAAAAATGCGTCCAAAGTGCTCCAACCTCTACCTTTTCTTTAGGTTTGGTGGACCAAAAATAATTTATAAAAAATTAACTATGCAGTGTAAATTAATTAAACTTTTTGGGAATACTCTCTAGATGTTGGTGGATATGTCATTTTTCAAAATCAACTTTTTTTACAGAATTTTTTTTTTCTGAGCCTCTATTGCGCACTTGTTAGATCGCTCCTTGAATTCTTGTCGGTGCTATGGAACCATGCTGCGGTGACACGCGGTGATTTAATTGAAAATGTTCAATACAAGTTTATTGAATTTTGTATGATAGGCGCATTGGCTGCCGTCGCTTTTATGGCTACAATAATCTAATGGTACCCTCAATCTATTGTCGTTGCACTATCGAAGGATTGAAAGAGAGATGTATTTTCTATGCCAAGTTGTATGCAATCGTGTTGACTGCGCAGAGTTGTTGACAGCGCTAAACATAGGCGTAGCATTGCGGCCAACTTGCAGGTGCCGTGACATCTTTTATCCTGATGAGTGAGCCATTTTCCCCACAACACATCTTCAACAGATGCACAATACAGTGTAGACCGCATATAACGTATGTCGCGGGAGTCGCGAAAATCCGCACTATAAGCAGTACCGCGCTATAACCGAAACATCAATTTTTCAGGCCAAAATACATGCCATGAGACAACTTACCTTTGTAAAAGAATTTATTTTATGTTAGATAAAAAATAAAGCATAGTTTGAGGAAAGTCTTTATTCCACCAGACTAGTACACTTCTCTCTCAAGTGTGTCGCACATTTTGAAAGAAATTATCGACTTTTGCCTGGCGCAGCCTTTTAACGGCGTCGCGGGTTGCGGACGGACGTTGTGAGCGTTCAGGATTGCTAACCTTAATCACTTTTCTGCAGTGATGAAAACGCGTGAAACTTCGCATCCTTTATACGGTACGCGCCAGTATACCTTCAACTTGAGCACAGCCATGAAATGCTCCAAATAAGAAATCCGGGCGATGTTCAAAAACACAAATGCTTAGAAAGCACCACTGTAGTCGAAGTAAACAAACACGACGACACGGGCGTTTCTGCCGTCTTGAGAGTGCCGCCACGACATCGCCGCACGAGTAGGTGGATCTTCTCTTCTAGTACGTGCTCGGTTATCATAGCGACACACAACGAAAGTTCAGTCAAGGATAGCGCTTTTACGCGGAACGATGAGCATCCACCACGTCGTTAAAGTGAACTAGAACGCCGTCAACGTCGACGATCACAACCGACGCTATGTTTGTGGATAGAAGCAGCCGGCCCGCAACCGGCATGCAATGCGCGCGAACACTTCTCCTCGACCTGCGATTGGTTTGTCGTTGCGGTTGTTTTGAACGACACGTGCGTGCGTCCCTCCGTCGCTATGGCAATTGAAGCCTCTCTCTTCGCTTCTCCCCGCTTCTTCGAGCAACCTCCTTGCCCCACGAGTGCCGCTTGCGGCTCACGCCGTTATCTAGTGTCGCACAGGGAAGCGTGCTCGCTGCTCCGGTTCCGGAAACCGCACTATAACCGGTATTTCCCTTCGCGCGCCTGCATTGTAAGTGGTATGTAATTACATAGAGTTGTATGGGAGGCGAATCGGTGGTTTAAAAAAGCCGCGTTATACCCGGTCCTGCACTGTAAGTGGTTATCGTATTTGCACGAATATAACGCGACCACGAATATAACGCGAGGGCAGGTTTTGATGCCCTCAAAAAGAAAACAAAAATATTGTTACTATTATAACGCGAACGTAGGCCGCATCAATTTCTCGCACTCGGGGGCATAGCAGAAGTGAAAACTCAATGGAAATAGAAGAAATATCTGTTTATGTTTTGACAGCACTCATCCTCACTGCTCAGGTCCTTCCGTTTACAATCCACTTGGCCACTACGCAGATAAGCAGCAGCACCTGCTTGTCTGGTAGTTCCTTTTTCTTCCCTGCGAGCTCCTCGGCAGCCCACAATCCAAACAAGGCACGAAGCAGAAGCACCAGCACACAAACACCAGATCACTCTGGAGCAGAAACTAAACAATGCGCAGGCAGAAAAAAGACTGCTGAACCCGATACACGATCACACTTCCTGTTCTGATGCCTTCTGTTGCACGATTGCATAAACGCGGTCGGTGGTTTTGGCTTGTGTTGACTTGACTTGGCCCGGCTCGGCTTGGCTCGAATTCACAGGTGCCCGCATTCCCGCATGGCGCACGCGTGCTGAGTTTCTGCGGCGTCCGCGCGTTGTATAAACACAAAAGCGATAAAAATGTTTTATGTTTTCTATTTGCCCCTTCATGTGGCCCAATAGCTAATAAATTCCCTTCCCCACCCCCACTTCTTTTCCCACCGGATATTTTGCATTGAGCCGGAGGGATGGCTTTCTCCTCTGGCTTTCTCCAGACTCGCGCGCCTCGTGGCTGAACTCTATTCCGAATTTAACGCGAGGTGCGTTTTGGAGCACGTAATTTCGAGAAAAAAAAGACTCGCGTTGTATTCGTGCAAATACGGTGCTACGCCGAGCACACGCTCGTGCAGTAGGAGCACACAGACCCCAACAGCTTGCGCCTCTCGTTTATAAAATGGCGTATCCACACCATGCTGGCGTTATGCTGTATTCTTTTTTTTTTACACGTTTGGGATGGATTTTGAGTACATAATAAGAGTGTACTTACCACCATTACGTTGAGGGCGTGGAAATGCTCGCGACACAGTACGCCGTCTTGGTGACGTGAGATCGTTCTTGGACGGGCCGACGATGGAGATCGTCGTCCCGCCGGGTATCCTGGCGAGTGGCCTGAGGCTTCTCTCGACGTCGTACCTCTCGCTCGTCGTCTCGAGGAAGTGGATCAAGCCGTGCCGGACCCCGAGACGATGCCCAATAGTGATAGAGACAGACAGAAAAGCTCACTACTCTTCTGTTACTCGCTCATCGCTCACCACCATGCTCCAGAAGCATTCCCGTGGCATAGAAACAAAGTCCACGCGACACTTCAAGCTCCACAGTCACAAACGTCCATGAGCTTTGCTTTGCAGTCTCTTCACCTCCGGTTCCTCGCACCAATGTTGTCTCGCGCAGCGTCGCACCGCAGATTTTCAAACGATCTCTTCCGAAAGCTCGAATGGATCGCGGTGCTGCCGGTACAAACTTCCCGATAAAAACGACGACTAAATTAGTTGAAAAGTAGGAATAATAGCCCAATGACAATGCAGTATGGAAAACTAGGCTAACAAAAGATTTTGGAGCTTGTTCGTTTTCCAACTTGGTACTGAACGAAATGTCACGATTATGTCACGCCCTGTAAGGGTTCTGGTTTACCCGACTCCGCCCGCATTTTGTAGGAAAATTGGGTAACTTTTGCCCCCAACCCATCGGACGTGCCACTTGCGTGACCTTTCAAAAGGAGTGTGTACAATGTCCAACCTAGCCATCCTGACGAGACACCCATTCTCAAACGAGGCTTACCTCGACGTCTAAGCTCAAGCAGGCAAGCAAAGCTTCAGTAGTGGACTGCTTCAAGCCCAAGAGTGCAATGGATGACAAAAATGGCAGTTGATAGCACTGGGCATGCACAACATGGTTTAAGAGTTTCCTAGGCACGATGAACTATGTTGTGCGTTTGCGGACAACCTTCTCGAGGGCCGTTGTCCCATAGCTTTTTGAAGCAAAGAGAAAGGAGCTGACAAACAAAGTTGGGGAGATCTTTGCCGGCGGACTAGGGTGCCTCTCGATCACAACGGATAATTGGACATTGCACGCGAATGGCAGTTACGTGTGTGTAACTGTTCACGCGATGAACTCGACTCTTATGCTCTTTGCTTTTTGGGCTTACGAATTGTGGCATTGCCCGGCCTACTTTTTTTTATGAATGTCGGGCTATTAGGATAGGTGGAAGGACGGTCGAGGAAATTTGGGAGCTAGCCCAGTTGTAGAACCCGAGGTAAAATGTTTCTACGAGTTCCAATAGTTCCTCGGGAGTTTCTTCCTACTGTCTGGTTTTGGGTCAAGTCCAGTAGCACCCCAAAACCTGGTTTTGAATCTGTCATTGCTGGCGTCTGTTTCAGCCGAGCTGGTGCGGGGCTTCTTCGACTTCTGCGCCTCCCTCAACTTCGACACTCACGTGGTCTGCCTCCGGACCGCAGAACTGGTGGAGAGGGGAGTCTTCTACAAGGAGCTTCACAAGACCCCAGAATGGAAGCACTTTCGGGTTCGTTGAGCTGCCTCCTGGCAACTTCTTGTCAACCACAGTCGGCCGGAATGGGGCTTTCACTCACGACTGCCAACCCGAGGGAAATTTCTCAGATTAGGCTAGGTAATATTCGGGTCTATGTGGTAATAAGGGATGTCTTGCTAGTTTGGGGGAAATTTCTGGAATTTATTTGGCCAATTATGATTTTGTTTAACGTAGAATTTTAGCGACTTTGGCTACATTTAGTTCCTTCCCTCGAGCCGTTCGGCAGTTTATTGTGAGACCACCTGGAAATGCTGAGGAACAGTCGAACAACTTTTTTTCGGCAAAATCAATTTTCGTTTGTTTTCATCATCCCCGTGAAAACTATGGAGGAAGAGACAGTCAAGTGGAAGCTTCTGAGAGCTGCTCTGCTTTCTCCAAAAAGAAAGCGCGAGTACAAGAAGAAATACTGCGATGTATGGAGATGCAGACTTACCACAACTAATACAGTAAACTTTCGTTAATTCAACCTCGACGGGACCTTGAAATTTGATACAATTACCCGAATGATTGAATTAAAAAAAGGACAGAAAAACGGTTAAAATTAAACTTCCTTTTATTGTCCAAAGTACCCTCAGATGGTCTGATGCCGTCTGCGCTTAAAACGCGTGTCCAAAAGCATGCTTCCGAGAGCAGCGTAACTAAACACCATGTCCCCAAAAAATCGCACACTAAAAAAAAAAAAAATATAGTAAGTTTTAAGAGTCGACTTTGGCGCCAATCCAAGATCAACTCAGTGACAAAAAAAAAAAAAAAAAAGGAAAAGAGAATTTGCGTTTTCCAATGCGCAAGATGAACTGCACACGATGCTACAGAGAAGCGCTTTGAGAGCGCGCACTGAGAAAGTTTTGAGCCGACTTTGGCGCCGGGCAACCAAACCATCAAAAACCCCCCCAAAAAAAAACAAAAAAAAAGGAAAGAGAACTCACGTTTTCCGGTGCGCAAGATGGAGCACACACGATGCTACAGAAAAATGCTTTGAGATTGCGCGCTGGCTCGTGCATGCCCGACCATGTGCTATGTTCTCCGCGCTACTCCAGGCCAGATTGGTTGCGCTGGCTCTTGTCATTCGCTAAGGTCCATCTCAACGGCGTAGAGGGGCAGGCGCATATTTGCGCACGTTCGGCTTTGCAGCAAAGGGTCCGTGTTTCACCATACGTTGTCTTTCTGCCATGGTGCCGTGCAATGTGAGCTTGCGCGCATTCCCTCGGGACGGATTATCCGATGCGGAATCTTCCTGAGTTCGATCTATCAAACTTTTCCTCCCATAGAAATGTATGGGCGCTCGCCGGGACTTTTGAACACGATCGAAGTAAACGAAAAGTTGAATTAACCGAGGTTGAACTTACGAAAGCTTACTGTAACACTTCTTCAAGTGCCGTGCACGAAGAGTTAGTTCCTGTGTGTCGTGCCCCGTGTGTTTGAGTTTGAGAACTCTCGCTTGTGTTGCACCCTTTGCTTTGGACTGACTATTATAAAAAATGCTACTGAAGTTATTAAGCAGTACCATGTTCTGACAGCGTGCGTAGCATCTAAGGCAAAGATAGGGTTTCATTTGTCAGTTTGAATCTCCCGGGGTAACACTCCCCTCGGCGCTTTGGCCGCAGTTTTGTCCCGATAAACGCATTTTTGCAAAACGTATGTGAGGCATAAAGGTTACATAATACAGTTAAACCCACTTATAATGAACGCGATAGTTCCGCGAGTAATGGTTGTTTTAGCAGTTGTTGGATATATCTGGACTTACATTTAAAACACATTATAAATAAGGATAATGAAGCTGGTATTGGTAGTTTCACTCTGCGAGCTCTTTATTTAAAGAAACTGTTTGCACGATTCCTATGCACCCTTAATTCTAACGCGAAGGCAGATTTAGCTTTCAGATAATCAAAAAGTAAATATCTGCCGATTCTACTGCGCGGGTAAAATGAAGATTGCCCACATAGCTCATAGAACAGATTTTATAAAACTCGTGCCAACACAAATGCCGTGCACTAGTCCGACGATGGTTCTTTGCTGTCCACGGAGGTAATTAACACTTGCTTTGGTCTAAAGCGTTGTAAGTGCCGCACTTCTTGCGCATGTAAGAGTGTGCGGCTGTCGCTTCTGGCAGGGTCGTCTTTCAAACAACACTTTGCGAGCTCGTCGGGTGGCTGGGATTGCGAGGCCACGCAGTGCTGCTTCGTTGTCATCTTTTCCCGCCAGTGTGATGCCCTTTCGTTTAAATAAAGCCTCCTAGAGTCCTTAGACGCGAGAGAATGTGCATGATACGGATACCAAAGCGGCGAACGTAAACAAACGGTCACGATGGCGATGGGGCTAGCCACCTTATACCGAGTATTGAGTTTTTTTTTAGTTTCGGTTTTTGGTTTCGATTCTAACGCGCATGGTAGTTTTGGGCACCGATTTTGGCGAAAAAAAAGTGTGCGTTAGAATTATGCAAACACGGTAGTGAATCGGCGGACTACACGACTTGGGAGGGCGTTTTTGCTTTTGTCGTTTTGTTTCCTCCCCGGGGAAGTATGCCGCGCAGCCGTGGAAATAACTTTGAACGTCTCCCGGAGCGCGACGCTCAAAATGTAATTCTTTTAATCTTTTTTTTTCTTTTTTTTCTTTTTGCGCACGATAGTTTGTTTGCTTTGTTTTCTTGGGAAAGCGGACTTTGAGTGTTCGTTGTAACAGTATGATGCTTTGAAAAAGGGTCGTTTTATCTGGACAAATTTAATGACTAGGGCCTTGAATTCCTATATTTTCTTAAATCTGGTCGTTATAACCGATAGGTCGTTATATAGGGGATCGTTATGAGTGTAAAATTGGAAGTGACACAAAGAACAACGAATATTTAGTATTGTGTAATTGTTTGGGCAAGTGAAGGAAATATTGGCAAAAAGAAGGAAATTTCAGGCGTTCGCTACAAACATTTTGATTGTGTGTTGGCAGCCCTGCTTTCAGTGGTCATTCACGTTCAGATAGTGATAGATCGGTTTGTTCTCTAGAGACGCTGGTTTACGCTCTAGAGGGAAAGCCAATCCAGTCTGACTGCCCGGCTTCTCCAAAGTGCGTCGCCCAGAAGCGGTTAAACGAGCACTTTGTCTCGATTTACTCGCGCGGGTTAAACTGGGGCACTAATTTTTGCCACCTGCATTTACACGGGCACGTTTTGTCGCTCTCAATGGTATTGTTCGGAGCATTCGACGAGAAAGAGAAAACTTTGCTTGTCACCAGGCCGTTCAAATTATGTGTGTGGATATTGCAACTTCCCGAGGTAGCCCCTCTGAGCTCTATGTCTATTTGCTGGATCGCGTTTGACCAGTTTCGCCTATGGACGGGAATGCGGTTACGGTTGGCCATCTTTTTGGTAGAGGTAGAATATCTCTAGCCATTATAGTAGTATGGCGGACAGCGCAATGGCGACAGGCTGCCATAAAACGGCCGTAGATCTAGTACACTGCCGCTGCCTTTACGCTGTGCTCTTCAGTGGCCGGCTTCAAGAATTAGGTCGGTCCTTGTGATTTGAGTTCGATAACCTATAGAATACTGCATTTGGACAATGTAGGTACATTAAAAAAAATTTAATTTAAGGTGCAGCGAGGGTGATATTTCGTGCTTGATTGAAGTTGTTCGACGAAGCAGATTCTTGAAACCTGGCGTGAACGGTAGCCTCATCTTTGAGGACCCGACGGAAGTTCTACGAAAGCAAGCACCGGGGAAAGCAGCGCAGCTCGCATCGAAAGCAGACTCCGTACCGGCGTCTGCTTTCTATGCTTCTTTCGATTCAACTTTCGATGCGTGCTATGCTGCTTTTCCCCGGTGCTGCGATTTCGTGAAACTTCCACTGGGTCCTCAAAGATCAGGCTACCGTTTTTGTAGGGTTTGAAAAACATGTTTCGTCAAACAATCTCAACCAAGCACGAAATATCACCCACGCTATTTTGATGGCAGCCTGCCACCGCAACTGCCACAACGCCGTCTGCCATGGTTGGATGATAGTGACTGCAGCAGCTGTGCCTTGGCTAGAGGTAATACAACTCCACCAAAAAGGTGGCCGTCAGTGGCTGCATTCGCGGAGCGGGCAAACGCGATCCAGCAAATGTCATAGAGAACAGTGGGTAGCCCGTACTCCGTTTAAATTTGTGTTTTTCGCGCAGCATGTGTCGCGTGGCTGGCTCATAGCAGTTTCTGGTAAGGCAGGCATAAATTCCGCATCGGGTTTTGGCTGGATCTGGTTTCCCGGCCGATGGGAAAGGAGTCTCAGCCGAACGCTTGCATCTAGTGCATGCCCCATGCTGGCCTCCGGTGGGCGACATCCTCAGCCCCTGAGAGAGCACACCTGGGAGAGCTTTGGCGGGGATTTTTTATGTCTGCGCGATTGAGGCGTGGAATGCTTGGCAAGTTCTTCCGTGCAGCATTCCACCGCCTCTGCCGAGACAGTGCAGTGAAAAGAAAAGAGGAAAATTTCGCTAAAACCACCGTAGGTAAACGAACACGTAGCATCGTGGTGTCGACAGATGTCGCAATGCCGCATTCCAACGTCTGATAACGTTGCAGCGTCGTGTGGTTGGACCTCGTGTCACGGTGTCATCCAATGTCGCGTGAATGTGGTCCGCCCCATGTAGCGAAACCCCTCCCTCTTACCGAGGCTTACCTCTTCTCTTCTCCGTCTAGGCTGCGTTTCGCAGACGGAAAAGTCCTAATGCTACGCATTTAGAAGGGCGGTTCTATTCCGTGAGCTCCGACCGCAGGGTGGCCAATGCGATAGATTCCTCCAAATTGACCTTTCCGTCCCAGAAGGCTTTGTGACAATCCTAGGTTGCACCGCGAGAGAATTGTGGATCTGCTCCGACATACACTCGGGCTCGCTAACTTCATATGCTGTTGCATTTCTTTATAACCAATGCCTCTACTAAGGAAGTGCCTGTTTAACCGAGTAAAATAAAGTTCCGGCCAATCTTCTATATGTTCACTGGGTTTCTCGG